CACCGCGCCGCACGCAGCCTCACCGCGACCCGCACGACGATGACGACGACGATGACCGCCGACGCGCGGCTGGACGTCGAGGCCGGAGCCCCTCGCGCTCTCGTTCGCGCTCGTACGACTCGAGGAACTCGCGCAGCCTCAGCCGCAGCCGCAGCCGCTCTCCCAGCCCTCGACGCGATCGCGGCGGACAGGCCGCGCCATCCCGACCGCCTGCGCCTGCGCCGCCTGGTCCACCGCCTGCTCGGCCACCTGTGCTGCAGCAGAGGCGACGTAGCAGCAGCAGCATCAGCAGCAGCAGGAGCGGTAGTCTCGACCCGGAGCGTCGTGGTCGACCCGTGAGTGGGGGACGGAGCGGGGGCCGGAGCCGGAGTGAGAGCGGTAGCAGTATGAGCAGGAGCAGGAGTAGGAGTAGGAGTAGGAGAAGGAGTGTCAGCGCCTAGTGCCACAGCCGAACGACGTAGGGGCCAGAACGCACGCCCACGCGCGGCGGTGTGCAGACGCGGCGACATGGCACGCACGACGTCCACACGACGATCCGTTGAATTGCAACAAGCATTTTTCTATATCATACCATCCTCCTCGCCCTCGCCCTCGCCCTCGCTCTCACACATCCATCCCCTATTCCTCATCCCTCGGTGCCCTCCTCTTTCTTCGTCATCCTCCACTGCCGCGTGGGTCCCCCAGCCGACGTTGGTCGCAAGGGACGGCGGGGGGGGGGGGGGGGGCGCCAACTACGATGGCGGAGCAGCAGCCGAATAGTGGGCGTAAAGATGGGACGGGTAGGACGACGTCGACGACATGCCGCTCCCCGCTCCGTGGTGCTGGTACGGGTAGGACGATGTCGGTGGACCCGCGTCGTATTGCTGCGGCGGCGGCGGCGGATGTTGGTGCGGATGGCCCTGGAGGTACGACGGCTGCTGCTGCGTCCACTGCGGTGCCGTCGTCGGCGCTGGCGCAGGTGCAGACGGAGGAGCAGAAGAGGGCGGGTAGTGGTGCGAAGGCGGACCGGGAGGTGGTGCAGCCTGGTGAGCCCACGGCGGAGCGTAAGGTGCCGATGGCGTCGTCGCCGAAGCCGACCCCGGCCCAGCAGCGGCCCCATGATGCTGGTGCTGGTGCTGATAGACCACCGACGGCGCCTGCCCGCCGTAGACTGCGCTACCACCGCCGACGCCGCCGTTTGCAGGCGAAGGAGCGAGAGGAGGCGGTGTGGCCGTCGCCGCCGCGGGCGACTGATGCATCATCGGCTGCGTCGACGGCAACGGCCGTGGCGCCCTCCTCATCGGCGGCAGGCTGCCGTCCGCTCCCATCGCCACCGAGCCGTACGGCGCTTGGTACGGCGAGGCGACGGGCATCGCCATCGACGCGCTGCTCGACAGCGCCGGAGACGAGGCGCGAGGCGGCTGGTGCTGCGGGTGCAGGCCGCCGCTGCCACCCGCCGTCGGCTGCTGGTAGTAGGCCTGCGCGTTGATCACCGACGGCGCCACGCTGCTGTAGGTCGACGCGGCAGGCGAGACTGGCCTAGCAGGCTCGTCGTATCCGCCGCCGCCGCCGCCGCCGCCGTAGTAGTGGCTGCCTCCGGCGGGAGGCGGTGGCCCGCCACTAAGGCCCTGGCCATACTCGCCGTGCGTCGGTGGCGCCGACGCGGGATGCGGCGGCGGCGTCGGACCGAGGTGGGCGTGGGTCGGCTGGGGCGTGTAGCTGTGCTGAGGTTGGGGCGGTGGTGGCTGCGCCTGATAGCCGCTCGACATCTGCGGATGATGCTGGTAGATGTGCGACTGCGGAGGGAGCGCAGAAGAGGGCGGCGTGGCGTTTGACGCCGGCGTGGGCGTCGGAGGCGGCAGCGGCTTGTCGCCCGTGCCCGCACCTGCAGCCGTCGGCAGGTGGTGGTGGTGAGGAGGCTGCTGGTGCGGCGGCTGATGCTGGTGGAAGCTCATGGCCGACATCGAGTGGCTCAGCTGCTCGGCCGGATCCTGCCTGCCGCTGTACGACGAGAGGTGGGACATGGTCGCCGACGCCGGCAGCTGCTGCGCGTACGACGACAGCGAAGACGTCGACGCCATCGACGACATGGTGCCGTACCGGTCGAGGGCAACGCCGCCGCCGCCGCCGCCGCCGTACGAGCTCGGCACGATGGTCGCCTGCGACGGCGCAGCGCTGTGGCCGTAGTACGAGGCCGAGGGCACCATGCCGCCGCCATACTCGGACCCGTTGGCGACGAAGCTGTTGCGGCGCGGCAGGTGCGACGGCTGCTGGCCAAACTCGCCCGCGCCATCGCCCGAGTGCTGGGGCGCGGGCGGCGGTGCCGGGCTGGAGCCTCGCCCGATGCTGGCGGGGGCGTAGGGCGGCGTGTAGGCGTCGATCTGGGCGAGCGACGAGCTGGGCCGGAGCGACGAGGGAATGTCGCTCATCGTGGCCGAGTGGGCCATGCCCGACGACGGGCGCAGGCTCGACAGGTTGCTCACCGACATCGACCCGGACATCTGCGAGCGGTGGCCGCCGCCGGGCCGCATCGAGGCCGGGATGTCGGCGGCGCCGGCAGCAGAGGACGAAGACGAGGCCGACGGCTTGGGGGGCGCGGCGGGCGGCTCGCCGAGGTCGTCAATGTCCTGGAAGGTGCCGGCGCCGCCGTAGGTGTCGTTGCCCGACACGACGGGCTTGATGGCCTTTTTGCGCTTGGGGGGCGCGGCGGCGCTGTAGAAGGTGAGCTCGAGGTAGACTTCGCCGGCGTAGCGGTCCTTTGCCTTGATGGGCACCCACTCGTCGAACTCGCCCGTCTTGAGCGTGTCGGTGAGGTCGACGAGGCCCTCGCCGATGAACTCGGGGTCCTTTGAGTCGTCGGCGTAGCACGAGACCTTGAGGACCTTTTTGCCGCCCTTGGACCTGGCCGCCGAGCCCGTGGCTTTCGAGACGCTGCTGCTGTTGCTGTTGCTGCCGCTGCCGCTGGGGGCGGCGTCGCCGGTGCGCTTGGCCAGGGCGTCCTCCATGTCCTCGTAGACCTCAAAGTGGAGCTGCTCGTCCCAGGTCGGGTGCTGGCCGCCGCGCTTGTCGGGCTTGGTCTTTTGCTGCTCGGAGCCCATGGCGAGAACGCAGTAGGGGTCCTGCTTGCCAATCGACCGCTTGTTGGGCAGGTTTTTCTGCGGCGGCGGCGGCGGCGGCGGCGGCGGCGGCGGAGGCGCAGGTTCGAGCGAAGAGGAGAGGGCAGGGGCGATAGAAGGAGGAGAGAAGAGACCAAGCATCAGCGCCCACGCATAGCGGAGGGCGGCGCATGCGGCGGCAGAGGCTACTCACGGCCTTGAGGACGACGCATACCAGCGTGCCCTTGTGGACGGGGTCGCCCGCCGGCGGCATCTTGGGTGTGTTGGACGGGGTTCAGACGCTAACAGGTGTCGTCGCCGTCGAAGGTGAAAAGGCGCGTGGGCGTGGGGATGGCCTTGTCCCTCGCTCCTTGGCTCTGGCCTCGTCGCTCCCGTCTTGCGCTGCGCGGCTGCGCGGCCGTGGCTGGGGCGGCGATGCGAGAGGTGTTGGCGGCAGTTGCGCAGCTTTCGAGGTTCGGATGCGCGGGCGATCAGGGAGCGCCGAGCCAGAGGAGCGGGGATTGATGGACGCGCAATGGTGGCGGCGGCGAGGGTGAGTAGTCGAGCGACCTGGCAAGCAGGCCTACCTGTGCTGCTGCGAACAACACCGGCAGCCTGGCCCGGCCTGGCCTGTGTGGCAGGCGGTGGCAGGCGGTGCAGGGCCCCCTGCCTCGCTTGATCCGCCAGGTGGACGGGCCTGCCCTGCCGTACGTCTAGCTGCTCCGGCGGCGGTAGGTCCGCACCCTGCCTGCCTGGCCTCGCTCTGGCCCGGCCGGCGCCCTGCCTGCCTGCTCGACCACCTCTCCGCTGCGTCTGACCGTGCGAGGCCCGGCCTGCCGCCATCCTCGCCGTCTCGAGGAAATCGAGCAGATCGGGTGAAGCAGTCCGATAAGCTCGTTTCCCCGATCCTTGGCTGGTGCGGGCGATGCTGGGCGTGCATCGCGGCCCACATCCTCGGCGCCGACCTTGGACCGGCGGAAGCATGGCCTGCCGTCGCCCGTTCGACGACCTTCCAAGAGCGAGCCCTCGAAGGTTCGGCCTGCCCCCACCAAGCATCGTCGCCCCGATGGCTGGCAGCGAGCGGACGGTCGGATGGGCCTGGCCCTGCTTGGTTGGTTGCTTGGCACCAGCACATCCACCGCCGCTTTCCCATGCCATGCCATGCGACGGGCTCAGCAGCAGCATCAAGCAGATAGAGGCTCGAAGCAAAGGCGTGCGACAGAGCCGTATGGATGGATGTCCGCCGATCGAGAGCGGGGGCGGTGCCGTGGCCGAGCGTTGCCATGCCCTGCCTTGCTTTGCTTTGCTTGCCTGGGGCCGGTTGGCCTGCGCTGCGCAGGATCGGGAAAAGGCAGGGCAGCGGCCAGCAGCTTCCCGAGCGGCCAGGCCAGCCGCCTCCACAACCGGACAGGCCTAACTGGCCTGCCTGCCTAGGCCCGCCAGCAGGCTGGGTGTGCGCGGGCGTGTGTCAGGGTCGAGCACGAGCCATCGTAGCGTCCGCCCTGCGCGGCGACGTAGCGAGGTGGCACCGTGCAGCGAGCAGCCCAGCGCAGCGAAGCGTACCGCCAGCAGGCGGGGTCAGGGCCCAGCAAGCAGCAGCAGCAGGCAAGCCCAGGGTCCCCGCCTGGTTGGCCTTCGATCCGCTTCGCCGGCCGGTCTGGAGGCCTCGCCAGTCGCCTAGCCTCTCGCCTCTCGTCTCGGAGGGTTGCACCCTGGCTTGCCTGCCTCTCTCTCCCACGCCGCGCTTCTTCCCCACGGCCTGGCCTGGCTTGGCTTGGCTTCGCGGCAGGCAGCCAGGCAGGCAGCGAGGCAGCCAGGCAGGCCCCAGATCCAGGCTGGCTGAGGCTGGGGCCGTCGCCCCGTGCGCTGACTGACGACGGCCGCCTGCGATGGCCAGCGCTTGCTGGCTTGCCGGCTTGCTTGCTCTGCCAGCCTCCCCTCCTTGGCCTACTTAAGCCTGTGCTCGCTCCCGTGGCGGTCCTCTGGTACTCCCTTCCCCTCTCTCCCTGCCTCCACCCACCTTCCATTCGCTGCCTTGCATCGCACTCTCACCATCGCCACCTTCATCTCCATCACCGCCAGCCTCTAGCTGTGAGTTGACGGTCTTTTTGCACCGATCTGCCGTCGCCGTCGACGGCGATGCTGCGAGCCGGTCGAGGCCACCAGGGGCCGCTGCCGTCGTCGCTTTGCCCAGCCATGGATGAGATGAGAGCATCGTCGGCGTCGTCCGAGACAGTGCTGACAACTGTCTCTTGCGACCCCTTCCGTCGCCTCTCTGCGCCTCTCTGCGCCTCTGCCCTCCTTCACCTCGACCGCGTCGGACAGAACCATCCAAGATGCCTTTCGTCATTGATCTCAAGGGACAGACCGTCGTCGTTACCGGCGGTAACCGCGGCATCGGTGAGTGTCGGCCCGTTCCTGCCAAGCGAGACTCGACTCGAGGATCCCGACGGCACCCTCCGTCTACGCACGAGGCACGCGGTGTTGCCGTGCTGGGACGGTGACGTGGCGTGGGAACGCCCGTTGGCCGGTCCGAGCCGGGACGGCTTTGGTCGAGGCCCACGGTGCCCTGACTGCGTGCAAAGGCAGACTGCTGACCCCAATCGCAACTGGCTTGTCTTCTCGACTTTCCCACATCGCCTTTGACCCCTCTCAGGCCTCGCCATGAGCAAGGCCGTCGCCAACGCCGGTGCCAACGTCGCCATCTTCTACCGCTCGCACCCCAAGGCGCAGGAGGCGGCCGAGTCGGTGGCCAAGGAGTTCAACGTCAAGTGCAAGGCGTACCAGTGCGACGTCGGTGACGCCGACCTGGTCAAGAAGACGCTCAAGCAGGCGCAGGAGGAGCTGGGCCAGATTACGGGCCTGCTCGCCAACGCCGGCGTCTCGGTCGTCAAGCCCGCCGTTGAGCTGACGTCGGACGACTTCCGCTACGTCTACGACACCAACGTCCTCGGCGTCTTCAACTCGGCCAAGGCCGTCGCCCAGCTGTGGATCGAGTCGGGCTACAAGAAGGGCTCGATTGTCATTACGTCGTCGATGAGCTCCGAGATCTACAACCAGTCGGGCCCCAACCAGGCCCTCACCCAGGTCTTCTACAACTCGTCCAAGGGCGCCGTCACCAACCTGGGCAAGTGCCTCGCCGCCGAGTGGGCCCAGCACGGCATCCGCGTCAACATCCTCGAGCCCGGCTTCTGCAACACGGAGCAGACGTCGGGAATGGACGCCAAGGTGCGCGACTACCAGGCCAGCAGCATCCCCATGGGCCGCTTCTCGGAGCCCCACGAGCAGGCCGAGCCCGCCATCCTGCTGCTCAGCGACAAGTCGTCGTACATGACGGGATCCGTCATCCGCCCCGACGGCGGCTTCACCATCTGGTAAGCCAGCACGGCCGCCTCGCCGCCTCGCCGCTCCCGTCCAACGATACCTGGCGGCACGGCGCGCGAGCGGTACGCACACGAACCATTGTCACGCACACCGAGCTGTATACGAGATTGGCAGGATTGAAAAAAAAAACGCAGTATTCCTAGCTCTGCATCGGACGCCACGAGGTGCGACGCGCCGGGGCCGCAGATGATGATCGCAGCGACGACGCGGTGCGATCCACGGGTCAACCGCCGCAACGGAAGCAGGCGCCGCCCGTGCGCGATGGCGATGGAGGGAGAGGGAGAGCCCCGCCTGCCGTGATGATGGATGGTTCGAGTCGTCTGCGATGAGGCCGGCCGGTCGGTGGTGCGAAGGAGAGGCTGGCTTGGCACGACGAGCCGGCTCCTCGCCGTCTCGCCGTCGGCGCCATCCCTTTGTCGCCGGCATCTGGTCTGGAGCCAGTCACGAGCCCTCTGCGCATCGCATCTTGTGCTGATGGATCGCACCCTCTGGGAGACCGAGGACCCTCCGAAGGCTCTGCTAGACTACTGACCTGGCTCGACCGCCCGCTGGCCCAGGCGCGGGACTGCCTCCTGTGCGCGGGGAGTTGCGAGCGCGACGCGTAAATTTCGAAAAGCCCGAGGCCGAGGCGCAGGCAGGCGAGCGAGCGGTCGAGCGAGAGTCGACGAAGTTGGAAGTTGGCCTGCCTGCAAGAGACGCGCCTGCTGGTCCGTCTGCCTGTCGCGAAGAGAGGAGGCGAGCAGGCAGGTCACAGGCGGGCGACATCTGGGCTCGCTCGCTCGGGGCTCCGTCCCATCGCTCTCCATCAACCGCCACCTGCTGCCATCGCCGCCATCCTCACCATACCCCGTCATCCATCCCGTCGGCCCGCCCGCCCGCCCGCTCGCCCGCCCGCTCGCCCGCTCACATCCAGGTCCGCCTCATCGTCGCGTCGCTCGTCTACGTGGCTCCCCGCTCTTCGACCTTGCGCCATCCCATCAAGAGGCTGCGATCCAACAAAGAGCACTCGGTATACCCTGACCAGCGCCCATTCCCACTCTGATCCCCTTTTCTGGCGCTCTGGGCCGACACAGCACGCCCTCTCGCCAGCCGACCCCGCCCTCAGTCCGGCATTGATTGCCGCAGCCCACCACACGCCGTCTCTCGCTCGCTCGCTCGCTAGTCGGAACGACGGCCCAACGCACCGCCGCCCACGATGACGACGACCGGGCCCATCCTGCCGACGATCAATCTCTCGATCGACTACGCCGAGGAGCGCCAGAAGATCGCCGACTTCCTTCGCTTCTTCAAGGCCGAGGAATCCCGCCTAGACACATTACACCCCACGCAGGTCGAGGCCGACGACGAGGGCGACGATGACGCCGACGTCGAGCGCCTCCTCGCCGGCAGCCTCGACGAGATGGACGTCGACGGCGCACGCCGCCGCGGCGCACGGCGTGACCCGGCGCGGCACGTCGCCGTCTACATGCTGCAGCTTCAGCGCATCGCCAACCGCGAGCAAGAGTCGCTCGTCATCGACCTCAAGGACGTCGCCTCCCACACAAACACGCAGACGGGCGAGTCGGGCAAGGTCCTCGTCGCCGCCATCCGCAACAACGCCAAGCGCTACGTCGAGCTGTTTTGCGACTGCGTCGACGCCGAGATGCCCAACCCGGACAAGGACATCAGCCACAAGGACGACGTGCTCGACGTCATCCGCCACCAGCGCATGGAGCGCAACGCCCGCACCGTCGAGGGGCAGCAGGAGACCCAGGACGACGAGGCCGACGTCTTCCCGCCCGTCCTGCTGCGCCGCTACACGCTCTACTTTAAGCCCACCGACCGCGAGGAGCCGCTGGCGGTGCGCTCGGTGCGCGGCGCTCACCTGGGCAAGCTCATCACGGTGCGCGGCATCGTGACGCGCGTCTCCGAGGTCAAGCCCTTCCTGCTGGTCGACGCCTACGCGTGCGACGTCTGCGGCGCCGAAATCTTCCAGGAGGTCACGTCGCGGCAGTACATGCCGCTGACGGTGTGCAACAGCCGCCGCTGCACCACCAACAAGACCAAGGGCCCGCTCTACCCGCAGGTGCGGGCGAGCAAGTTTGTGCCGTTCCAGGAGGTCAAAATCCAGGAGATGGCCGACCAGGTGCCCGTCGGCCACATCCCGCGCTCGATGACGATCCACGTCTACGGGCCCCTGACGCGCAGCATGAACCCGGGCGACGTCGTCCACGTCGGCGGCATCTTTCTGCCGATGCCCTACTCGGGCTTCAAGGCGATCCGCGCCGGCCTGCTCACCGACACGTACCTCGACGCCCAGTTTGTGCACCAGCTCAAGAAGCAGTACGACGCCCTCGAGCGGACCGACGCCATCGCCCGGCGCATCGCCGAGCTCAAGGACGACCCGGCCCTCTACCAGAAGCTGGCCGCCTCGATCGCGCCCGAAATCTACGGCCACGACGACGTGAAAAAGTGCCTGCTGCTGCTCCTCGTCGGCGGCGTCAGCAAGACGGTGGGCGACGGCATGAAGATCCGCGGCGACATCAACGTCTGCCTGATGGGCGACCCGGGTGTGGCCAAGTCGCAGCTGCTCAAGTACATCAGCAAGGTGGCGCCGCGCGGCATCTACACGACGGGCCGCGGATCGTCGGGCGTCGGCCTGACGGCGGCCGTGATGCGCGACCCGGTGACCGACGAGATGGTGCTCGAGGGCGGCGCGCTGGTCCTGGCCGACAACGGCATCGCGTGCATCGACGAGTTTGACAAGATGGAGGAGGGCGACCGCACCGCCATCCACGAGGTCATGGAGCAGCAGACCATCTCGATTTCCAAGGCCGGGATCACGACGACGCTCAACGCGCGCACCTCGATCCTGGCGGCGGCCAACCCGCTCTACGGGCGCTACAACCCGCGCGTGTCGCCGGTGGACAACATCAACCTGCCCGCGGCGCTGCTGTCGCGCTTCGACATCCTCTACCTCATCCTCGACACGCCGACGCGCGACGACGACGAGCGGCTGGCGCAGCACGTCACCTACGTCCACATGCACAACTCGCACCCGGAGCTCGAGCACGACGTCATCGACCCGGTGCTGATGCGGCACTACATTGCCGTGGCGCGGCAAAAGCGGCCGACGGTGCCGCCCGAGGTGTCGGACTACGTCGTGGGCGCCTACGTCCAGCTGCGGGCGCAGCACAAGGAGGACGAGCTCAAGCAGCAGTCGTACACGTACACATCGGCCAGGACGCTGCTCGGCGTCATCCGGCTGTCGCAGGCGCTGGCCCGGCTGCGGTTCGACGAGTCGGTGTGCATCGCCGACGTCGACGAGGCGCTGCGGCTGATGGACGTGTCCAAGGCCAGCCTGCACGCCCACAGCGGCCGCACCGACGCCGGCCAGGACACGTCGCCCATCTCGAAAATCTACCGCATCATCCGCGACATGGCCTCCAACGCGTCGTCGTCCCGCAAGGCCGGCCACGGAGGCAGGATAGGGCGCGGACCGAACCGAGAGACGGGAGGCGACGGCATGGACGACATGGACGACATGGACGACGACGACGACGAGGCCGGCGGGGACCTGCAGGAACTGCAGATGCGCGACGTGCGGCAGCGGATCATTGCCAGCGGCTTCCTCGAGGATCAGCTGCAAGAGTGCCTGATGGAGTACACGTCGCTCGGCGTGCTTCAGCAGACCGGGAATCGGCTCGTCTTCCTCTAGCGTCGGTCCTGCCCGGCCCTTCACCCCTCGTTCAGGTCCCTTCTGGCGCGCCTCATTTCCCGCCTGCTGTATGGTTCCCACATCGCTTGCTCGGTCTCGTAATGCCAGGGTCTCTTTGTTTCACGGAAGCCGCCGAGTCGTGCGCTATGTGCGCCACGTTGGTGTTGCGGCTGGACCGGTGCCGTCGACAGGCAGGGGTGTCTGCGAGGAAGTGTGCGATGGAGCTGGCCAGCGGCGTGCCTTCGAGGGCCAGGCTGGCTGCTGAGTGGGCGGCGGACTCCACTTGCGAAGCCTTCAAAAAATTGAGGACAAAAATGGCCGCAAAGGCTGGCGGGTTGGCCGGCTGGCGGGCCAGAGGGCTAGAGGGCTAGAGGGCTAGAGGGCTTGGACCCCTCGCCACCTTCGCATTGGCCCTTCACCTTCATCTCCTCCCACCCCCACCCTTCACCACTCATTTCCCGCTGCGTCTCGAGTTGCTGCTTCACAGTCCCGCCCCATGGCTCCCTAGGAGGCAGACGGCTGCTCAGCAACGGCTATCGCCCTCTTTTGACCGACCAGCTCCGCGACATACGTCCCCTACCCGGAGGGTGGCCGGCTGACTTGACCTTGCGCCACCCCGAGCCGCCGTCATCGCGGCCACGGCCCTCATTCGCCCAACATGCCCCCGGCCTGGCTCAGGATCGACTGCGGCGAGCACGGCAAGGTCCTCGCCGATCCGACAAAGGAGTACCGCGAGATCCAGAAGATCGCCGGCGCCCGCCTAGAATGTCCGCCCAAAGAGGTACGGCTGTACATCCAAGAGGCAAACGAGGACCTATGGGAGGTCGACGAATCCATCTGGAGCGCCGCCGCCGGCTCGGGCCAGGTCGTCTTCGCCAAGAGCTCCGCCCCGACCCCCTCGAAGCCCGCACGACACTCGGCGCAGGGCTCAGAGGCAGACGAAGACGAGGTCAGCATGCAGCTGCTCGAGCCCGAGGATGACGGTCCCCAGCCTGACTCCGCACCGTCCGAGCCGACGTCCGAGCCGCCCCAGACGATCCAGCTCAGCAAGAAGCAGCGGAAGCGATTGCGGCGGGAGATGGAGGAGGCGGAGCGAAGCGCACAGAGCGCCGAGGCCGGGCCGTCGTCGCACCACCTGCGCAGCGTCCAGACCCGGGCTCCGACACCGGCCCCCGCAGGCTTCGGCAAGAGCGTCGCGCCGCAGCTGCGGCAGGCGACGAGCGCCAACGCCTCGGAGCAGGAGCGCCACGCGTGGAGCATGCTCAAGTCGATGGCCGTCGACAGCAAGAGCGGCTCGCGCAAGCACTGGGACGCCAAGACCCACCGCCTCCTCTTCCAGAAGCTCGACGACATCCTCAAGCGCACGCCCGTCGACCGCACCAAAAAGTACATTTCGGAGCGCTCGCGCATCTTTGGCATCCTCATGTCCGAGTGGGGCGACAAGGGGACCAAGGGCCAGCTGTTTGTCGGCCGCTCCAAGGACGCGCTCACCACGCGCGTCTCGGGCGTGGTGCGCATCAGCCGCAGCACGGGCACCCACATCCCCGAGGCTTTCGACTTTCTCTTCCCACCGACGACGCGCCAGCTGCTCGAGATGGAGGAGCTGCAGAAGCAGAAGCAGCAAGAGGAGCAGGCGGCGCAGGAAAAGGCGGCCAGAAAGCAGGCCAAGAAGCAGGCCAAGCGGCAGCGCGAGCAGCAGGAGCAAGAGGAGCAGCAGCGACAACAGGCGCAGCAGCAGCGACAACAGCAACGACAGCAGCAGCAGGAGCCGCAACGACCGCAGCAGCAAGCGCCGCAACGACCGCAGCAGCAAGCGCCAACGCAACATATGGAGCAAGGCAGACCGCAGCAGGTGCAGAGGCCACGGCAGCAGCAGCAGCAGCGGCAGCAGTCGCAGCGGTCCAGCTCGCCGGCACGGCCCCCGGTCATCCGCGCAGCAGCAGGCTCAGGGGCAGCTCCAGCAACAGCCCCGGCAAGCAGAAAGCGCAAGGCGGCATCGCCGGAACCCTCGTCAGACTCATCCTCGTCGTCGTCGTCCTCTGCAGCGTCGGACGTGTCTGTCGAGACACCGCCCTTGCCTGCTCCGCCGCGGGTCGCCCCGGCGCGCCTGTCGCCGCTGGACCTGACCGCGTCCTCGCCGGTTCCGTCGACGTCTCGAGACGAGGCCGCAACGCGCCGCGAACCGGTCCAGGCGGCCCGTCCGGTGGCACCCGAGCTGCTGAGCCGTCGATCCGACTTTGCCTCCCATGACCGTGGCGGGCACGGGCAGCAGCAGCAGCAGCAGCGGGAGAATCGGCGCAGGCCCATGACCGAACCCCCAGTCGACTCGCCGAATCGGAGCCGACTGCCGCCCAGGCCACCGGGTCTGCCACCACGGCCGCTGCCCATCTTTGGCTCCTCGGCCAACTTTGTGCCTCTGGGCCCGTCGCAGCCGCAGCCGCTGCCGCGCGCGCCCTCTGCCTTCCCATCTTGGCGCCTCGACGATAGGCCCTCGACGTTGCCGCGCCGGCCTCTCGATCAGGGTTCACCGTCCCAGCATCCTCGCCAGGGGGGCACGCCGTCGCGCAACCTCCGCAGTCGACCCTCTCCGGGGCCCTACGACCGGCCGTCACCATCCGGGCACCAACGCCGACGTACGCCGCGAGGCCGCCGCGAGCAGCCTAACGATCATGGAGACCACCGCGGCTCTGGCGACAGTCGATGTGCCTACGACTCGAGGGACTCGCAGCAGCCTTTTCGGGGCTCGCGGGACAGGCGCCCCTCGTCGGCGTCTTCGCGTACCTACAGTCCGCACCTGTCGAGCTCCTCGCAGCCGAACCACAATCCGCCATCGGCATCCCGTCCCACGCCGCGCTCTGGCTCTCGACCCTCGTCGCCGCCGCGGGGGCATCGATCCGCCCCGGATTCCCGCGGGCAGCAGAATGGCGGACAACCGCGGCACATGGTGTGGACGAGGAAGGAGGAACAGCCCGACCCGGGTCCAGCAACCGCCCCCGCACCGTCGGTCGCTGAGGCCGAGAGTCGGCCGCTCCGCGCATCTAGCCCCCCGCCGCTCGTCAAGACCGAGGACGAACGGGCCCACGCTCGGTGGGCGTGATGACGCTGCCGTCGACGATGGCGGCCCCGCACGGACAGCGCCCCTCCGCGCGGGATGGCACGGGCCCATCCCCTGCTTCCTCGCACTATACTCCGCATCGACCTGCGCTACCGTCTTGTCGGCTGCGCTCGACGCGACGTAGCACCACTGTAGACCACCTCTCATACCGTCTAATACGCTAACGTACTCGCAGCATAAATACCGACTCCAACACCAGTAACAGCATCAGAATCACAGCGCAGCGCAGCACAGCACAGCACAGCGCAGCACAGCACAGCACAGCGCAGCACAGCACAGCACAGCACAGCACAGCATGGCGCGCAGCCGGCCGGGGCAGCTCTCTGTCGGACCTCTATGTCTTGGCATTGCATTCGACGACAATGGCGGGAAAGACGGGGCGGAGTCCTCGGCATCGCCGGCTGACGACCTTCCGTGCCGACGGCGCGGGGCGGGGCGAGGCGGCGGGGACGCGCGGATCTCGCTCTCTAGATGCTCGCCGTGTTGGCGCCAGCGGCGGCGGCTGTGCGGGCCTTTACGACCTGTGCCTGGGCCTCTACGACCCTCTTTGTCGAGTGGATGAGGGCGTCGAGGCCGCGTTTCCCGCCCTCGTTTGCCTTGACCTCAATCACCCTCCTCTCCCTCTCGAGCAGCCCGACCATCTCGGCGGGCAGGACGTCGCGCTCAAAGTCGAATTGGGCGCCCGCCGACTCGAGGCTCGTCGTGACGGCCTCTGCAAACTTGGCCGGGTGCGCCGTCGAAAGCACCACCTGGTGCGGGCGCGCGGTCGTCGTCGAGGAGCTCGACGCGTCGCCGGCGCTGCTGCGCTTGGCCACGACATTGTGCGCCGCCTTGAACCCGACGGCGCTGTGCGGGTCGATGAGGTAGCTGCCCTTGGCGTAGTGCGCTGTCGGCTGGCGCTCAAAGTATTCGAGCACCGTCGTGCGGATCTCGCCGTCGCTCACGCGCTCGGCCTCGAAATCGCGCTGCGCCAGCGCCAGCTGCGCCGCGTCGACCTCCAACCGCCCCTCGGCCTTGAGCGACGCCATCCACTCGGCCAGCTGTCGGCCCGCCGCCGCTTCCCGCTCCGCCTGGCCCTGACTCTGGCTCGATCCGCCCGCCGACGCCGCTGCCGACTGCTGCTGCTGCTGCGACTCGTAGGCGATGTACCACAGCAGCCGCTCAAAGTTGGACGAGACGAGGATGTCCATGGCCGGCGAGAGGGTGGCCTTGACGCCGCCGTCGTGCTGCTGCTGCTGGGCGCCGTCCGAGGAGCCCTCGACCGGCGCCGTCTGGGCCGACGTCGCACCGCTGCTGGCGTTGCCGCTGCTGCCGCTGTTGCCGCCGCCGCCGCTCGACTTTTCGTAGCGGCCGCTGGTCCAGAAGCGCTGGAGAATGTCGTTTTCGTTGGTGGCCACGACGAGCTTGGCGGCGGGCAGGCCCATGCGCTTGGCGTAGTAGCCGGCGAGGATGTCGCCAAAGTTGCCGGTGGGCACCACAAACTCGAGGTCGCGCGGCGCTGGGTCCGAGGGCGCGAGGCCGAGCTGGCGGCGGAACTGGAAGTAGGCGGAAAAGTAGTAGACGATCTGGGCCAGGATGCGCGCCCAGTTGATCGAGTTGACGGCGCCGAGGCGGTGGGCGGCGTTGAACTCGGCGTCGGAAAAGAGGGCCTTGACAATGTCCTGGCAGTCGTCAAAGGTGCCCTCGACGGCGACGTTGTGCACGTTTTCGTCGAGCACCGTCGTCATCTGGGCCTCTTGGATGGGGCTGACGCGGCCCTTTGGGTGGAGGATAAAGATTGAGATGTCCTCCTTGGAGCGCACGCCCTGGATGGCGGCGCTGCCCGTATCGCCGCTGGTGGCGCCGACGATGGTGAGCTTCTCGCGCTCGTTGCCGACCTTGCCGCGGTTCCTGCGCTGGAGGAAGTACTCGAAGAGGTTTCCGAGGAGCTGGAGGGCGACGTCCTTGAAGGCAAACGTGGGACCGTGCCACAGCTCGAGGCACCACTCGCGCTCGTCGAGGCGCACCAGCGGCGTCGTGTCGCGGTGGCGGAAGGTGGCGTACGACTTGTCGATGAGCTGGCGCAGGTCGTCGGACGGGATGCCGCCCTGGGCCGCGTCCGTGGGGATGTAGAGCGAGAGGACCTGGAACGAGAGCTCCGAGAAGCTCATCGAGGCCCACTGGGTCTGCCAGTCCGAAGGGAGCTGCGGCACCTCGGCGGGGATGTAGAGGCCACCATTCGGGGCCAGGCCGGTCAGGACCGCCTGGATGACGAGAAGCGCAGCGGCAGCGGCAGCGGCAGCGAGGCAAGGCAGACAAGACGACCGTCCGAGACGGGGTTGCGGGGCAGAGTCGAGCGAGCGGGCGAGGAGGGACAGCGTCAGCGGCGGTCCATCATACGTGCCCAAGGCGGAGGCCGCCGTCGCACCGTACTCACCTGCTCAAAGGTGAGCCGCTCGTCGCCGCCTCTTGTGCTGAGATATTTCATGCTGCTGCTGCTGCTGCGTCGTGCGGGGACAGGAGTAGTGAGGTTGGAAAGAGGCGAGGATGGTTGAGAGGGGGGGATGGGTTGGGAGTCGAGTGCGAAGTGTCAGTCTGCCAGCCAAGGCCCGGTCGGTGCTGGCCTCGGTGCGAAGGCCGGCCGTGCGCATGAAGCAGCAGCAGCGGCAGGCCCGGGGAGCGCCCGCCTGCCCGCCTTTCTTCTCGGCCCCGTGCCGGTGACTCATTTCCGCCAGGCCTGGCGGTACATGGCCGCGACCGGATCCGAGCTCGGGCGCCACGTTCGCAGTCCAAGCAGGCCGAGTTGGCCCACCTCCTCCCGCACTCACCTTTGCCTCCTGCCACCGCCCCGCGCCATCGTCGCCTCACCTCTCGCCCGCCGCCGAACCCGTGCAGCTCTGCTTGGACATTATGATGTACGGAGCAGGGTTCTGGCGCTCTCAGCGTGCGGATTGGCGCGCTGGCCGCGTCGGCGGAGGGTGGGGTTGCTCGACGTCCTAGCGCCTTGGAGCCGCACCCTGGCGGCACAGACACGTGCCCGGTGGCGACGACCTGGCCGGCTCAGGGCGATGACCTCCGGAGTCACCGTACCATGTGAGCAAGGGAGGGATCGACATTGCGCCCTGTTCCCAGCGACCCGGACCTGGCACAGCGACCCAGGCAGGCGGCAGATGGCGGCCCACACGACTCCTTCCGACGACAAAAGAGCGGCGCACCTTTTCATTGATGCCGCTGAGCCCGTCGCCGAGGTTCGGGCCAGGCGGGACCAGCTGCCCCGCCCGACCTTGGCGTCAGTCGGGTCCCGCACTCAGCCCTAAAGTTACCTGTCGTCGCCCAGCCTCGTCGAACAAGCGTGCCGACAACGGCGAGGGACGCTCTCTGCTGCCACGCCTGCCCCTGCGGCCGAGCGGCACATGGTTCGCCACACACAGCGAGTAGAGAGTGGATAGATGCCGACGTCGGAGGTCCCGTCACCTTAGGCACCACGGCCCTCGCACTCCCGACCGCCAGACGTCCTCTTTTGCTCGCGACCGAGGCATCCAAGATTCAAAGGGCCAGCCAGGTCAAGGCGAACAGCCCCGCGGTAGCTTCAGCCGCTTAGCTTGCTCCTCTTTGCCGCTCCGCCGCCCACGCCGACTCGCTCGCCGCCGCCGCCATGCATCTTTGAGAACGTCCGGATCATCGGCCGTCCGCTCCGCTGCAAGGCGCTGCGACGATACCTGCCTTGGCGCACGCTCTGCGCATCCCGGCGCTGCGCTGCGCTTCGCCACTTGCCCGATCTCCGGCGTGGCCTGGCCAGGCCAGCCGTTCTGCGCTTCTTCTATTTCCCTAGCCTCGATCGGCCTTCCCGCCGCCGAGAGACATCAGTGGCGCGTTCCTGGTGAGTCGCGCGTTGTGGCAGTGCACGCGCAGCCGGGGGGCAGGACCTCGGCCAGGCCAGACCAGGCATGCGGCGGGTCCCGCCGACGACGACGGCTCCATCGACACGAGAGCGGGGCCAGGCCGGGCAAGCAAGCACGCACGCACGGCCGAGGAGCAGGCGGATCGGCCCGAAAGAAGTCGCCGGATGCAGGGCGATCGGATCCCAAGTCCGCCCGTCCACCGTTTCCTTAGCTTGCTTGCTGTGTTGCGGTAGGCACTCGCGACCCGCTGCCTGCCATGGCGAACGGCAGCCATGCGCCACCATGGTCCAGGGAGGCTCGAGGAAGGTGCCTCGATTACCGACTAGGTGGTCAACGACGGCCCGAGAGACAAGACGAGCTCTGGAAGGCTCAGCCAGGTAGGTGGGGCGCAGGCGCTGTCATGCGAGGTGCCTTGCTTGGCTGTGCGAACTCTGAGCTCCCTGCCTCTGAAGTCTCTCCGTGTCTCTGCCTCTCCGCCGGTCTCCCTCTCCCCCTCTCTCCCTCTTCTTCTGACGATCTTCCTCTTCGTCTCGTGTTAAGCGGATCCCCCATGTTGACCCCACGAGAGCGCAGCGCGAGGGCGGCCTGCTGTAGGAGCGAGCGCCGGTCCAGGAAGGATGATGGCCCTGCCGAGGTGAGGCCTGCTTCGACTGTCCCCGGCATTCTGCCTCGGCCCGCAGTACGGTAGCAAGATTCGACCCGGGGGGACAAGCGAGGCGGTTCCCAAAAGAGCACGTATGTACAAGTACGCGTTCTTGCACCTGCTCTGCAAGCTCATCGACGAACATCGGCCGGTCCTTGTTTGACCGCCTCGGACGACCACATAGGATGCATGGCGAAGGACAGGATGGGAACCTTCTGCGAACGAGCGAAAGCGCAGCGGATGCCCGGGTCCATCGATGGGTGGAAGCGAGCGACGGAAGGCGGTGCAGGCTGGCCAGGCAGGCAATGCCAGATGATCGCGGAGCTCGGTTGCAGCACTCGCGGCCAAGAAGGCCTTCGATCCCGTGCCCGTGCCCCGTCGTCAGGCGCGATCCTCGCGCGTCAAGTCGCCGCAGCGCCGGGCCGCGCAGCGCCAGGCCAACCGGAATAGACCGCGCTGCGAGCGTGCGACCTCTGATGATGCTCCCCATTCTTGATCCCCCGTCCTCAACGCGCAGGGTGCCAGAGCAGGCCCGACCTGAAGAGCAATCCGATCAGGTGAGCGATCTATCTTCCGTGCGCAATCGTCCCTCGGCACCATCAGCGGTCTGGCGCAGCCTGGCGCGTAGATGTCCAATATATTTGACGGCGGGAGTCAGGCCAGGGGGAGGGGGGGCCGATCGAAGTTGAAGGGGCCATGCGGCTGTTGATGGAGCCAAGCGTGGCAGGTACTGTAGGGCTCTACCGGCCACCACCATACAGATCCAACGCCAGGACCTGGCCTGGCCGCGAGCGCGAGTACGCGTTCTCGAGCAATGGTCGACCCGCCTCGACGACGCTGCATCCTTGCCGCCGACCGGCTGGCCGATCTCGACGGCGGTGCCCGACGCCCGCCTGCAGCCTCTTACCTCTTGCGGCCGAGCGAGCAGGCAGGCAGGCAGGCAGGCAGGCAGGCAGGCAGGCAGGCAGGCAGGGAGCCTTCAGCCTTGATCCCTCCGAAGACGTGGCGCGCGACAATGGACGGCTGGCAGCGGCGACGGCGACAAAGTCCGTGGCGGTAGTCCGACGTGGCCAGGCCTCCGTCGCAAAGGCGCGCAGGCAGGCGCGCAGGCAGACGGCCTGGCCAAGCTGAGCGTACAGCGCCGCGAAGGAGCCTGGCTGGGGACTGGGCATGAGCAGCAGGCAGGGGTCTGCCCCCAACCCCCTTTGACTCGGTTGGGCACCAGAGTAGGCTTAGGTTTGCTGGTGAGCTGAATCGGGGCGCAGGTGCTGCTGGTGCCCGACTACTCTTGCTCCCTCCCTGCCTCTGGCTGGAACAGCGGCGACCCAGCAGGCAGGGCAGGGCAGGCAAGAGGCAGGCAAGAGGCAGGCAAGGCAAGGCAAGGCAGGGCAGGCCAGGCTGCACGGCGCGGACAGACAACAGGCAGGCAGGCAGGCAGGCAGGCAGGCGTTCGCTTCTCGAGCTTCGACCCGGGGCCAGGCCAGGCAGGTCCAGCCAAGAGTCGCCTTTTCCGCCGCGGTGCCTGCCCCCACGCCTCAAGTCGAGCGTGGCCTGGCCTGCCTGCTTGCTTGATCTGGAAGGCGTACCGTGATTCCGCCGACGCCGCGCTGAGCCCTGCCTGGCTGTCAGGCAGAACAGACCAAATGAGAGCGAGCCAGGCCAGGCCAGGCCAGGCCAGGCCAAGCCAGGGCAAAGACGCGGGGGGCCAAGCCCCGACCCACGCTGCCCACCCGTCTCCACCGGAGCTTCCCCAGGCCTTCCTCTGCCTTCGATCCTCGGCCTCTTGCTGCTCTCCTCTTCCCCCTCGGACCACCACCACCACCACCACCACCACCACCACCACCACCACCACCGTTGACACAGCCTCCATATTCCGACACGCTCGCTCGCAATCCAGACAAGAGCTGACCTCCGCTTCACTGCCGCCGTCTACGCCGCCGCCGCCACCACCAGCCTCCGACTTGCATCGACACGCTCTCTGCGTCTATTTCTGTCACCTGGCTGCCCAGCACAGCTCGCCCTCGACCCCATCCTTTTGACGATCGCGCAGAGCGCACATCACACGGGAGCGTCCCTTTTTCTTACACCTGCATCCCTCTGTCGGCCCTTCCAACCTCCAGCATCCGCAGCAGCCGCAGCAGCCGCAGCAGCAGCATCCCTTCACTTTCTGCCTCCGATAGATCACCCTTTGTCGGTCCATCTACCAGCTGCTGCCTCCCCCGCAAAGACTTTTTGCGCTTGTGGCCAGGACCACCTCCGAACCCCGAGCACAGCCGCGTGGCATCGCCTGCCTGATAGCACCGCAGCATTTCGATCCCCCGCCCATACGAAACACAATGTCAGCAGCAGCACCGCCAGCCGCGAGCAACTCGCCAGTGCCCCCGTCTTCGCGGCCCGAGGTGTGCGGCCCGCACGCCCCCGAGCGGCCCTACCCCATCTATCTGCGCGGCGAGGTCGAAAAGGGCTTCGGCAGGGGCTCCAAGGACCTTGGCTGCCCGACAGGTGAGTCTGCCGCCTCTACGAGCGTCAGGTCCTGCTCCGGCAGCAAAATCAGCAGGCAATCCGCCGGCCGACCACCGAGCTCGAAACTCACCTTCCTCTCTCTCTCCCTATTCGCCCCTCATCCGACCCTGGCCAGCCAACCTGCCGGCGAGGGTGGTCGGCCCCGGCTCCAAGCTCACCCGGACCGGCGTCTACTTTGGCTTCGCGCGCGTATTGCCTCAGGAAGAGGATGATGACTTCCTGACCGACTCTGAGGATGCCGACGGGCCGTCATCGTCGTCCGGCAACGGCACCGGTGCCACGTCGGTCGACGACGATGACGACGACGACGACAACGAGGTGGTCCTGGGCGCGAGCCCGATCCAGGACGGAGCCGACGGCTTCCCCCAGTCTGGCCGGACAAAAGCGAGGCAGGACAGCAAGAGCAGCCTGCAGCAGCAGGCCAACCTGCTCCGACCAAGCGATGGCCGCAGCACCGACAAAGAGGCGGTCGTGTCGGCTATGGAGCTCAAGGCAGCGGCTTCAGCAGCGTCGGCATCCGCATCTGCAGCCGCCGCGTCGGGCGCCGCCGCCGAACCGATACCCACGCCGCAGGAGTCTCACAGCTCGAGGCACGCCTCGTCCGGGAGCGGCACCGGCAGCGCCTTCAGCAGCCTCAGCAGGCGACACAAGAAGAGGCGCATCCCGCTGCGGCAAGAGGACTCGCGGGTCTTTCCGATGGTCATGAGCGTCGGCTGGAACCCGTTCTACAAGAACACCTACAAGACGGCAGTGAGTCTGCGCAACGGGGGGCTAAGCGAGCCGAAGGGATGATGGCGTGGCGGACTGGACGCAGGAGCGCACGAGCTGACCGAGAATCCCGCCCTCGCCTGGACCGGCCGCGTGCCCGCCTTCAGGAGGTCCACATCCTCCACGAGTTTGGCGCCGACTTCTACGGCCTCGAGATCCGCGTCGTCGTGCTGGGATACGTGCGTCCCGAGTACAACTACGACTCGATGGGTGCGTACCTCGTAACTCCTGCAGGTTCTAGTGCAAGCGCCGCAGCGGTGCTGAGGCCCTCTCCTTCGATCTGCTACCCGTGTTGCTGCCTCCTCCCCGCAGATGCTCTGATCGCCGACATCGAGATGGACAAGAAGGTGACGGTCAACTCGCTCAACCGGCCGCTGTACCAGGACTACGCGCGGGACCCGTTCCTCGGCAAGGTGGCGTCCTGAGCCGTTGCTCGCACGTCCCGCGCACTTCGCGGCCTTCTCTCGCTCCCTCTACGACGACGACATCGACCACGACCGCGGGTCCCCTACATCATTCCGCCGCGACACGACATCATACCAGACCCACCCCCTCAATCTGCCTCGTTGCCCCGTCTTCCTCTCTCTCTCTCATAGACGATCCGCCGACATGGGGCGGACGAACCACGACGACATTCAGCCATCCATCCAGCCAGCCAGCCAGCCATCCGATCGCTCCATCCAGCCTCTTCGTCCGGTCTGCCTCGACCCCCATCAATGGCAACGACAGGCCCTCCTCTCTCGCTCGTCCATTCTCTCATCTCTTCGGGTTCGGGTCCATCGTTCTTGCTCAGCTTGGGTCGGGGGTGATCATTGAGTTTCTTGTTCTTCGTTCATTGTTCTTTCGCCTCGACATTCGACGCTCTCTCTGGTACCGGGCGGGGACGTTTGGGAGTCATGGGGCTCCGACAGCGGGCAGGTGGCGATGATGGGAGACCGAGATGGGGCAAAGGGAGGGGGGAGGGGGGACGAAGACGTCGGGTCGAGTCGGTAAGCTTATCCCGCCATCCCCCCTTTTCTCTCGTGTCGATCGACGACCATGTAGATGTGGAAGGGAAGGGGCGAGGGGGCAAAACGACACAGCGAGCCAGGAATGAATGACATGGGCTTTTCCTTCCTTCCTTCTCTCTCTCTCTCTCTTCGATTTTCGCTCCTGCCCGTCCTCTTTTCCCTTTGCCTCGACCCGCCCACCTCTGTCTCGCCCCCCGCCCCCGCCCTGTCGCAGCAGGATCCCGCAGTCCCGTCGGTTGCGTATCGCCTCGAATCGCCCGTCGGCGGCTGGTCGCCCACACGCGGCGCAGAACCGGTCCAGCCGTGCTCTCTCGCGCTACCCGCGCTTCCGACGCCGACGAGCCGGAGCTGGAGCCAGAGGCTGGGTGCACCCGCCTTTTCTCGGCGTCACCACACGAAGAAGGATAGGCCGATGATGACGCCGATGATGATGACGCTATGATGGTGGACAGAAGGGGGAGGAGAAGGGAGGCTACATATCCGATCGGACTCGATGGTGGCATCGCAGCTGGGTATGGGTTTGCGCGCTGGCAGACGAGCGCCCAAGCTCGCTCGCTCGCTCGCTCGTTCCCAACGCTGTCGGGCTGGAAGGGACGAAGGCGACGTTGCTGCAGCCGGCCTCGTCGTCCATCGCCCGAGGCAGTTCGTCGCTGGCAAGGCGGTGCGACTCGACGCGCGACCCTGCGGGTCACTCCATCGGATTCGTGCGGCCGGCCTGGGTCGCGCAAGACGGGGCGGACGCAAAGAAGGGGAGAGAGAGGTCAGCCTTGTGAAGCCTGGCCAATCGGCGCCACGGGCACCAGCCGCCACCTACCTGCTCTTCGTCGTCGTCGGCCCGGCGGCAGCCGCACAGCCAATCGGTCCACCACGATCTCGACTCGGTCTGATCGCGCTGTCGGAGCCGCTCCCGATCCCGCGCCCGTTCGCGCTCCCGCTTGCCCCGCGCGCGCTGGTCGGCCGCCTCGACCGTCTCCATCCAGTCGTCGCCGCCGGCCGTGATGCCCATTTCGCGGAACTTGGAGCTGCTCGTCGACACGCGCGAGGGCTGGTTGGACAGCTTGACGTCCATGGAACCGGCCCCCACGTCGCCGCCCGCATCGTCCTGCACGCCGTCGTACGGGGCCGGCGCCGTCATGGCGTACTGGCGCCGGCGGCCATTGAGCTCCATGGCCACCTCCTCGTCGAGACCGCCCTGATGGAGCGTCGTCGAGATGCCGCCACCGCCGTCCTCGGCGCTCGCAAACGGGTTGGCGCCGGCGCCGGCACCTGACGCCTCGTCGCCCTCGGCTATCGACGCTTCCGTGTCGGTGGCCACTATCGAGGGCATCCGCCGCTTGCCCTCGGTGCGGCCCATCATGCCCGCCTCGATGGTGCGACGCTGGATACTCGACGCCCGGCCTACGGTGACGATGGGTCGCGCGGCGGTCGGGGTCGGCTTCTTTGAAGCGAGCGCCGCTGACGACGCCGGCGACCGGTAGATGTCGTCTGCGGCCTCGGCGGGGTCCTCGAACGGATTTCGGGCTCGCCCCTTGCCCTTGTGGCTCGTCTCGCTCTCGGACTCTGGAACATCCTCGAGCGGCCCGGAGTCGGAAGGCCGGACACCCGCGCCACCGCCATAGGAGCTGATGCGGCTGCCAGCGGCGCCGGCGCCGCCTCCGCCTATGGATCCGGAAAGCGGGCCCCTGATCAGCTCGTCCTGGGTGTGAGTGCTGTCCATCGACGAAATGCTGTCGGGACGCCCGGCGCCCTGGGCGAACTGCGACGCGGCCGAGTCGCGCCTCGAAAAGCGCAGGTTGGCCGGCGATGCGGGCGAGAGCGTCGCCGACGGGCTAATCGGCTCACCGTCCGCCAGCCTCTCGGACGATGGTCCTGCGCCCAGCCCGGCCGCGGACGAACGCGGGGCCGATCGGATGCCGGATATCCTGCGCGCCAGGTTGCTGCCAGCGGAGGGCGGCGCCCCCAGCGAGAATCGCGAGGTGCGTGCTGCTTTGCGCCGGTTGCGCTCTTCGGCAGCCCACCTCTCGAGGTTCTGCCGATGACACAGCGGGGCGGAGGGTGAGAGTATGTCGATGGGTCACGGTTTAGCGCAACGCCGAGTCAGCAAGGGCGACCGAGGCGCACACGGCACGCGGCGCGGGGTCCGTTCGGAAACGACGCAGAGCGCTGCTCACCTGTTGCACTCGTCTGGCCTCGGCGGCATCGTCGTCGAGGTTCGGCGCGGCGTACGAGTCGACGGGCTCCCGCTCGTACAGGTCAGACGACCCAGCTGCCGCTTCGAGACGGATGCCGTTGGCAGAAGTCTTGCCGGAGCCGACGGGTCCGTAACGGCGGTGCGGGTCCAGGTGCGGCGATGAGCTGGAAGACGCAGCTCCGTTCGAAGGACGACCGGCCTCGTTCTGCACATCATCCGAAAAGGGCAGCTGTGCGTGCCCGTTGGCGCGCGGCGTGAGCGGGTCCTCGAGGACCGGGCTCTTGCTCGACGAGGGTTCGCCAATGGCTTTCCATCCGCGGCCGTCGTCAAACGCCGGCTTCGTCGCGGCGGGTTGCGAAGACGCTGTCGGCTTGATAGTGGGATGCCTCTTGGCACCGTCGTCGCCGGCGCTGCCGTGATCCGACACGAGCGGTGCGGCGGCAAGACGATCCGAGTCTGCCGTCATGCTGGAGCCGAAGGAGACGTCGGAGAAGCCCGAGGTGTTTTCACTCCGGTCGGCGTGACGGAGCGAGCTACTCTCAGGGGCCTCCTCGACCAGAGCCGATGAAGGAGGCATCGTGCGAGGTCGGTGTCAAGCAGGGCGACTCGCCCGACTGGTACCGATGCGAGGGCGTTGGCGAGGGCGGGGGCGATGGCGGGCGGATGGCGGTTACGCTGGCGTACGGCAGAGACGAGGGGGTTACCGACTTCCGTGTCCCATCAAAGCGGAATCGGCATCAAGCTGGCGAGGGTCTTTGGCTGGAACGAGGCTGGCTAGCACGAGGGACGCTGGCTGTATCGACGTCTGCGCAGGAGCCGGGACGAGGTGAGCCAAGGCAGCGCGTGGCCAGCGGTCGCAAAAGGTGAGCAGATGAGACAGAGCAGCACGAGAAGCTACGGATGGACCGATGCGGTGCGAGGTAGCTCTAGAGGGTCGATGTCGGCGGGGGCTATGCAGCCACAGTCGGGCAGGACGAGGCCAACGTGCCGGGGCTGGGTCGGTGGACCAGCCTCGAGAGAGGCGGACACGGCGTTCAAAGTCCGGATCGAGGAGCGCCGATGTGGCGATGGTGACGGCGTCGGTGGCTGTGGTGGTGGTGGTGGTGGTGGTGGCGGTAGTGGTGGCGGTGACGAGAGAGAGAGGTCGATGGGCAGAGGATGGGTGCTGGCGTGGCTCGTCGTGGCTGGGAAGGATGTGGCATGCAAGAGGATCGAGCGAGCGGCCGGGCTGGCGGAGGCTAGGGAGCAAGCAAGCAAGGCGTCGGTCGGCGTCGGCAGCGCGTACACAGAGCCAGGTCAAGCCAGGAGAAGCCAGGGCAGGCGGGCAGGCCAGGGCAACCCGGGAGAGCCTGGCAGCAACCGGCGTAGGTGGACAGAGCGGCAGGCGGCCTGGTCCGAGACAGGGCTGCCCAGCCAGCAGCAGCAGGAGCAGCTCACGCCGAGCCCTTCTGCCTGGCAAGTGCGGCGAAAGGCGCTTGCTTGCTTGCTTGCTTGCTTGCTTGCTGCAACATCGGCGCCGCCGCCCCCGCATCGAACTGGCCCTGGTCCCTGGCCCTGGCGTGGGCCGGCCTATCCAGCCGCTGCACTCGCCCAGGTCCACCCGGCCGATACAGCCTGCCTCGCCGGGCCCGGCCTGGCCTCAGCAGCGAGGGGAGCGGGCGCGTCGTCGTGTTTTGATTTTCTGGCAGGGGTGCTCGCCGGCCAGCCCCTGACGAAGGCCATACATCATCCTCCATCTCTGGCGGCGATGCAGCGGCAGCGATGCGGGCCAGCTCAGTACGAACGTAGCACGGTCATCCCTGTCAGATTGCGATGTGAGCTCCTTCTTGCAACCTGGCGCCGGCGGCGGATGGAACGAGATGAGGCCGGATCCCGGCCAGGCCAGGCTGGGCTCGAGCCAAAGTCAAAAAAGCGGGTGCCCCTGCCTGCCAGGCCAGGCCAGGCCTGCTCTGGTCAGGTCTGGTTTCGCGTCGGGCGGCGAGGTCGCCTGGGCCCCAGCCCCGACACGCGACTGACTGTGCCGTCCAGGCCTGCGGGCAGCTCCACCACGTCCACCTCGCTCTTCCATCATCGTCGCGACCGGGTCCCATCCAGCCAACCCTCCTCGATACCCCCACTCCGGCTCCTGCCGCCACCCCGGCCCGCCATCCATCCGTCTCTCTGCCTCTGCCCTCCTCCTGGACTCGTTGCGCCGCGTCGCCGCGCCAGAACAAGGGGCACGGAAATCGCCATCCGGGGCCCATTTGGTCATCGGCTCCCCTTGACCACCCTCCCACCTCACGCGCAAAGCCTCTTTGTCGGCAAATCGTCTTGCACCGCCTCCGCCTTCACCCACGCAGGCATATCCGCTCCACGTCGATAACGCGCCGATAGCTCTTGCGACGTGTAGGCCGACGCCGGTACAGCGCGCCAATCGAGCCTCGGCGATATCCACAGACAGGCAGGCCAGGCTAGGGGGCGCAGCTCGGACTGGTCGTCTCGGAAGACTCCCGAACCGCCAACACACCGCCCACCAACCGCCCCGAGCGGCTCTTTGCTGGACCGGCTGCGTCGATCCATGCCGCCAGCGACCACCTCCGGCACCCTTCCGCCCTCGACCTCACAGCTGCGGGCCCACACCACACCATAGAAGCCCGCCACGCCCATGACCACGGCAGCGGCCACTCGCAGATCATCGCGTCTGAGCGGCGCTTCCGCCTCGAGCAATGACGACTCGGCGGCCATGAACCTACCAGCCACCTCGTCCGCCGCCAAGGCCCCTCGGCCGACGCGCAGATCAACAGCGGCTGCATCCGCCCGCTCGTCGGGGGCCTCGTCGGGCGCCTCGTCGGCCGTCATCCCTGCGGTCGCGTCGAGAACGACCAAGCGACCCGCCGCCGCCGGGACAGGCCGGCAGCATCGGTTCTCCGACGTCTTTGGAGAGCTCGGGGACGATACGCGCATGCACGAAGACACCAGCCTCGGCGGCATCGTCGCCACGGAGAGCGCCTCGCGCAAGGCCAAGGGCAAGGCCAAGACGGATCCAGCCGGGGCGGAAGAGCTCTTATTGGCCGAGGAGCCACCGACCAAGTCGAAAGCGGCCAGCCGCAAGAATGGCGCCGCGAGCGCATCGCAGCCCACCGCACGGCCAGCGCGCGCACCACGGAAGAGTGAGCACCCTCAGCTTGCCCTGCGCGTTCCACGACGATGCCTCTCTGCTGACGCTTGGCCATCTTGGTCCGCCCATGCTTGCCCCACCTCCGCCGTCCATGCGACGCTCGCAGCGCTCGGGGAGGAGGCTGAAGGCGAGTTCATCTTCCAACGCGACGTGGGTCCACAAAGGAAGGCCGCATCGACGCAGGCGTCCAACGGCGCCCACGCCGCTGCTGCCGCGGCGATGCCACCACCCGCGATGGGCGCACCCGCAGCACGGAAGCGCCGGGCAGCCTCGCCAAGCAGCGGCAAGCAGCCCAGCTCCAGCTCCTCGTCTTCGTCCCGCGCCGGCTCATCCCGCAGCGTGGTGGGCAGGACCACCTATGAGCCGCTGCCGGACGAGGCGGCTGGCGAGACCCCAATCATCCGACGGAATCAGGCCTTCCGCGCTGGTCTCGAGGTCCACCCGGGGTCTGGCGGGTCAGGGACCTCGGGCGGCAGACGGTCCGGCGGCAGCGGCCGGCGCAGCAGCTTGGGTCTCAAGGGCGAGAAGAGGCGGTCGTCGCTTCGCGATCCCGCCGTGGCCGCCTACCCGCACGACGACGTCCCGGATCACGAACTCTTCCGGCATTGCCCGCCAGACACGACGCCCCAGATCCGGATGCGTCACCTGATGGGCTGGTCGCTGAAACGATCCCTCGGGGCCGCGCTCGGGGAGCTCGGAGCATCCAAGACCACCGCTCCATCCGCCGCCACCAAGGGCAAGCGGAAAAAGGCCGATGCCGCGCTCCCGGCCTTGACCGAAGCCGAGAAGCGGGAGCTCTCGCAGCATCGCGAGGGTATTCTTCGCGTCCTCGAGCAGCTGCTCTCGGACCTCCACTGCGGCGCCTTTGGCATCAACTGGATTGGCGAGAATGATCCGGTAAGTGTCGGTCCGACGGTGATAGAGGCTTTCCGCCGTCTCTCCAGCGGCGCGATATTTGCTGACCCTCGTTGTTCGTGGACCTTCCGCCCTGCAGGCACCCGGCGGCCCCGCGTTGCAGCCGCATCCCCGCAACGCCTCCAACATCGAAGCAAAATCGCGTCTGGCCTCGACTGTCCAGAACATGTCGAGCGAGCGGAAGCAGTGGGAAAAGGAGCAGTGGCAGATTGAAGCATACGAGGCCGACACAGCCGAGTTGGAGCGTCAACTGGCGGCCACGTCGGACGACGAAAAGGATCTGGCCAGCGTCGACGATCTGCCCGAGGTCGAGTGGGACGAGGACGAGGACCTGTCCGACTTCGGGCGGCAGCAGCTGCACGATGCGAGGAGGGCCATCGCCGCGCTCGACGGCCTCCTGTCCGGAAACCCCGTCGGTCCTCCTGACGCTACAGCGAAGCCGCCAGCGTCCAAGGGCAAAGCGCGCGCAAGGTCGTCCAAGGCAGCTGCCGATGCAAAAGAGGCGGCGGCGGCGGCGGCGCTCACGGCGGCCGAGGACACCCAGGGCAGCGAACAGGACTCTCGGTGGAAGGACGTCGAATTCAACGTGAGTGCGATAGGGGCAGGAGCAGCGAATCTGGCTCGAGAATCGCGTTTGCTGATCCTCCTCCTTCCCCTTCTGGGCTCCTTCGATCGTTGATCGTGTACAGGTCGACCTGCTTCGCGCGCGCTCTCACCAATTCGCCCAGCTGCAGCTGCTCGCCTCGCGTTACGTCCGGACGGTATCTGCGCAGAATGCCCAGGCGCTGCGGGATAGGACGTCGGCTTCATCGTCGTACGCCAATGCCGCTGCCGGCACCAAGCGGTCCGGCTCCATGAGCCGTGGTGCGTCGGCCGAGGCCGACTCGGACGAAGCGTCAGCAGGAGGCGGCGCCGGCCGACTCGACCGGCTCCTCGGCGGTATACGCGAGTCGCGCTCGGATATTGGCAGCGGCGCCGAGCCAGCGCCAGCCGTCAAGCGACAGAGAACGAGCAGCAAGGACGGCAGCCAAGAACCGCCGTCGACCGACCGCTTCGAGCCCGACGAGAGCGACGCGATGGACCTACTCCGTGCCCTGGCAAAGTCCTAGAGGCGGTAGCGAGCGCTCCCACCTTCGCACCGGGCTGCCGCTCATCGCCGTGCTCTCGCCACAGCCGCGGCGTCTCGTTGCGATCAAGGTTCTCCACCGCGACCTTCTTTCCTGCGGGTCGATCCGCTCACCCACCTTGCAAGTGTAACAGTAGTAGAAGCTCCGATCCCCATCCTTCTTTATACCGCCATGCCTCGCCTCCTCGCGCTCGCCCTTCCCTTCGCCCTTTCGAGAGCCGCTCTTGGCCCGATCCCGCCTCCCTATACAGTCGATGCCTCTGTACTTGTCGTGGCCCTCACCTGTTGTACCTCGTGGAATGCCCCCCTCCTATCCTCGCCGGCCCGCTCGCTCTCCATCCTTCGCTTCCAGGCCCACACGGCCGCACGCTCTCCATCCTTCGCTTTCAGGCCCACACGGCCGCTCGATCCGCTCGACCATCTTCTAGGTCGTCGTCGTCCGCGTCGTCGTGCTCTCAGCTGGCTGGCCACGAGGGTCTATGCTCGAAGCGCAAGACGGCAACGACGTCGGTGTGGTGCGGTGCGGCCCACAGCATGTCGCTCGCTCGACCATCCGCAATGGTGGCCGCAAGGACGACGAGCACGGGAGCGCGCAGCAAGACACGGCCGAGCAGGCGGGATCGTCTAGCACGTCGTATTGCGCTGCATTGGGGTGCTGCAGACTACATGGCAGGCTCAGTGTCGCTCGGCGACCTTTGGCTCCCAAGCGTTCTGACGGCGTCGCGGGGGCAGGGGATGCGAACAAGGGAAACGCCCAGGTCAGATGAGCAGCTCTCGAGGCAGAGGCGAGACGGGCGACGATCGGCACTCACGATCTTGGGCTTCACCGTGCTGTAGGTCTTGAAGGCGGCGCGCGTTCCCGTCAGGTTCTCTCGCGGTTCCTGCGCAGCGCACGCACGCAGGGACGCACACAAAGGAGAAGGGAACAAGCATGGCAAAGGCGGATCAGTCGACGCTCCTCGGCCGCGAGGAACAACGAACCGGCACCGGCACCGGCGGCGCATCCTAGCACGGCTGCGCGGAACGGGAGCAGTGGGCACTCACCGTCATCCAGCTCTGGACCATCTTCTGAAGGCCGGCATCCTCGGTGGGGGGGTCCTTGCGGATGTGGTGGATCCAGGCGTGCCAGAGCGGGTCGATCTGGGATGCGCTGAACTCGTTGTCGGCGTGGAAGTCGACCCAGCGGTGACGGCCGGGCACCTCGTTGAGGTTCTCGTAGTATCGGTTGCCGTTGCTGCGGTCGGAACGGCGAAGGGATGATCGACCGAGGCGGGTGACGTGGTCAGCTCAGAGCAGGGCTACAGAGGGTTGGATGAGGGCCGCGGGGTACTCACCGGTCGGTGCCCACGAGCCTGCCGGCCTTTGCGTCGCCGATGTAGTTGAGGTCGCGCCAGTACCTCTTGAGGCCGACCTGACGGATATAGTTGATTGTCCTTGCCAGAGACATGGTGCTGGACTGCTATGAGGGAAGGTAGGGAGGGGGTGACGCAACGTGGGGGGCGGGAGGACGGGTGCGATGCGGGGTCCGGACGGTGGTTATTGATGTTGGTGGCGAGCGTCGGGCGGGCGGCGGGCGGCGGGCGGCGGGTCGGGCGCGCTGGCCCTGCGATGAAATTCCGATGACCCCGGTGCCGGGTAGCTTGGCCGGGTTGGCTCCTTTCGGCCGAGTCGAGAGTGGCTGCATCTCGGCCTCCACCCGTCTGTTTTCAGGGTCCAGCGTCCAGAAAGGCAGGCCTGCCAGGCGCCCCTTGGCCTCACCCTCGACGCTCTGACTTTTTCGCGACGCCGAGCCACGCTCCTCCCTCTCTCGCCACCTCAGCTTCCGCCTCCCTCCTTCACTCTCTCTCTCTGAGCTTTTGAAACCCCCAGCCAACTGGAGCCTGCTATCTGAGATGCGGACAGCAGGCTAGAGACGTCAACGCTCACCCACGTCGCCCGTTCGACCGACCGGAGCCTCGCTACGCGAGCGCGCGACATCCACGACCAGGAGCTCGGACCCCCACGCCACCGCGCCGCCGCCACCACCACCGCCAACATGCGACCGAGCGCGACGCGACGCGGCGTAAAGGGCCTCTTTCCCTTGATCCGCTCGCTCGCGCCCTCGTCGATCTCTGCGCCCTTCCCGCTCTCGTCGCTCCACGGCCTCCGCCTCGCCATCGACGCCACCCTCCTCATCCAGAAGCTCCACTTCGCCGACGACCCGCACCCTTCGCGCCACCTGATCGGCTTCTACCGCCTGCTCAACTCGCTGCGCGAGAATGGCGTCGCGCCCCTCATGGTATTTGACCACCCGAGCAAGCGGCTGGCGCTCAAGGACCGCGAGCAGGACAAGCGAAAGAGGAAGCGCGAGCTCGACCGCATGCGCAACAGGATGGAGGCCGAGCGCAAGGTCCGCCTCCGCTCCCTCCAGGCCGTCCTCGACACGCTCCGCCGAACCGGACCAGAGGAAAGGTCGCAGGTCGGCGCGCTGCTCGACACCTGGCACAAGCAGAGGGCTTCGGAGCGCGCTGCCGCCGAACCCCTGCCGGAGCCCGACGTGGAGCTCGCCGACAAGCTGGCTGCCGAATATCTGGCGACCAGGGACGTCCCGGACTGGGATGCTCGGCGGTCCGAGCTGTGGCAGCACGCGCGCAAAGCCGTCCTCGCTCCGCTGGCCGGTTCTGCCGCTTCGAAATCCCAGCAGCAGGCGCAGATCGATACTGCCGCCACGACAACGCCGACCACTGTTGAAGATCCGGACAGCCTGCAGGCCGACAACCTCGACCTGCTCGAGCAGCTCGGTCAGCGAGCCAGCCTGGGAGACGTACCCGGACCGGCGGCAGCGGAAGCGTCCGCCGACGATCTCTACGACCTGGCTGGCGACGAGAACCTCGTCAGCCTCGAGCGGGAGCCCTACAGCGCGCTCGAGGCGCCCGCCCATCGGCCGCAGGAGGGCGAGTGGGAGCAAGTGCTCGAGGACCTCACCTCTCGACCGTTTGCTCTGGCCCTGCGAGTCGATCGCTCGCAGAGGCAGTTCGAAGATGCTCTGGCTCAGATGGGCGAGTTCCAGTCCAGGGGCCAAAGGGAATTGACCGAGATCGAGCAGAAGCTCTATGACCAGATCGTCGCCAGCCTGAAGCCGCCATCAACGCCGCCAGCCCCTCTGTCGAGCTCATCGACGCCGCTCGGCACATCGACCACGGCCGCAGCGGCGGCGTCCCCAGCTTCGAGAACTCCACCATTGTCGGACCAGGCCATTTCTGAAGTCGCTGCTGAGGCGTCTGCCGCCTCAGACGCAGCGCAAGATCTGGCCTCGGGTGCTGCAGAAGCCACTGCGGCCTCCACCGCGACTGCGACTGCGGCTGCCGATGCGACTGCCGACACGGCCGCCGCTGTACCTGCTGCTGGCGAGGATCGCAGCCGGCCACAGGAAGCGCTGCCCTCGTCAGTCTCGCCGTTGACGACGCTCAACCGGGGCCTCTCCAAGACCTACGCCCGCTCCACTATGCCGCTGTCGCCCAGCATCTACAGCGACTGCGCGCACCTGTGCTCGCTGATGGCGGTGCCCGTCTTCTGGACCGGCGACGGTACGCGGTCGGGCGGCGGTAGGATCCACGAGGCTGAGGCGTACGCATCGTCGCTGGTCAAGGCCGGCTACGCCGACATTGTCGCCAGCGAGGACAGCGACGTGCTCCTCTACGACACGCCGCTGCTTCGCGGCCTGGTCGGGGGCATCCGGCTCTCACATCCGGTCCCTGGCGGCGCGAGCGGCAAACGGCTCATGGAGGTCGTCGATGGCACCATGGTCCGCCGCGGCCTGTTCGACTTTGACACTCTTCAGTCGTTCTTTCGGCGGAAGCAGCTCGAGGCGGCAGAGCAGCACGGTAGCGAAGGGTCAGCAGCGTCCTCTGGTGGGAGAAGAAAGGGCGTGCGGAAGCCGAGATCGCGGTCCAAGACGCTCCTCTTGTCTCCCGCCGCCACGCGTGCCTCGACCAAGGGCGTCGGGGTGGCAAGGGACGACGCCGCCGCCGCTATCGAGCCGGCATCGGACTCGGTGACGGGATCACCATCCGCCGATGGCCAAGACATCGCTGCCGCACCTGTCGCCACGCTGAAACGGGAGGAGTACGACAAGATGACGCGGTCGATGATGCTCGACTTTGCGCTGCTCTGCGGCACCGACTTTAACCGCACCGTCCCCGGCATCGGTCCCAAGACGGCGCTCAAGCTGATACTGCAGCACGGGTCGATCTCCAACGTGCTCGAGAGGGAGTCGAAAAAGTTCCGGCCGCCAGACGGCCTCTCGATCAAGGAGTACGAGGCCGAGCTGCGAAACGCCCGCACCGTTTTTACCAACCCGCCCAAGGTGCGCGCAGCGGCGAGGAGCGTCTTTGCCGCGCTCAACTCGGCCACCAAGTCGCAGGGCGGCGCGGGGCGAATCGACGCGTCAGCCGCGCCTAGCACGGCAAGCGACAGCGATCGCGATCGCAGCTTACCCTGGACGCAGCGCTTCTTCGAGATCGACGCCGTAACGGCGGCGGACGATGGCTCGGCATCTCCCGCGTCGGTCGAGGCCGACAAGGGCGACTTGGCGACGCTGGCCGACGTGGTCGAACCTGCTGCAGCAGGCCAAGCCGAAGAAGGTGGCGTCGAGCGAACGTCGGATGCTCCGCAGGACCATGCTGTTGCCGCAGGGGATGGCGCTCAGGACGGAGATGCGACCGAGGCTGCTGGCAGCAGCTTCTCCTCTGACACCGCAGGCCCGACGTACGACCGCGACGCGGTGCTCGACTTCCTGCGCGAAAAGGGCGTATTTGGCGGGGCAAGGCCCGTGACCTGGCATTCGCGCGACGACGACTCGTGGCGGGACATCATGGATCTCGAGCTCGGCATCACCCCACAGAAGGCTCGCCCGGGTGGCGACGGCGACGGGTCAGACGCGAGCGGTGTCGAGTGGGACGTCGAGGACCAGTGGCAGGCGAGCGAGAGCAGCGGCGAGACGGTTACGGGGGCGGACAAGCGGCTGATGGGCGTCGACTTCTTCGGCGAGAGAGAGGCGGGCACCGCCTGCTGGTCGCCCGACATGGAGCACAACGTCCGGAGGAGCACGACCGTTGCGGCCGACGCCGCCGCTGCCGCCGCCTAGATGGGCGACGGGTCGTGGCGGGCAGAATCCTCACGGGCGCAAGAGCCGCGATGGCAGCGTACGCCGACGATGGCTGCAGGTCCTGAGCCCTTGAGGTACGGGATCCGCCATCCAGAAGGCGCCGAGCCTCGCTGTCTTCCTCCTCGCCGGAGCGCGATTACGATACCGGTACCCGTTCGACGGGGACGCGACCACGTCAGAAACGGCATCACTGTACCATGCACCGGCGGTCACGTCCCACCCATGCAACTGCGCGAGGTGTACCCAGCTGGCTGCCGCCAGCCCGGTTCAGCGTCCTGGCTTTGGCGTAGCGTTGCTTGTCCACCTCGCTCGTCCGCGGGACAGCATTTTCGCGGACGGGGGGCCTGCCCAGCGCATCACGGCATCCGCTCATTCGCCGCATGGACCTCGTCGATGATCCGCTTCGTGCACATGGACCTCGTCGACGAGGGCTCATTCAGCACCTCTTGTTCATCAGAGCCTACGCCAACGTCCCTCTTGAGGCAGCTGTGGTCCGGCCAGCCTGCTGGCTGGCTGGCTGGCCATCGCATCGATATGGACCCCTGCAAGAAAGGCTGCAGGACAGATGCCAGCAACCGATACCGCTGCGCCGGGCGTGTGCGACGTTGGGTGTCCGCGGTACAGTACCTGTACAAGCCGAGACCCTGACCAGACTACCTGCTGCGCCGTGGACGGAAGAACTCGAGCCCGACGACGCGCTCTCCCGCTTGCGTGGTGATGCGAGCACGCAGCGAGGCCGGCGGCTGTTCATCTCGCCGTGACGTGGCAGCCGTTCGTCTGCCTTGGCTGGCTTGCCCAGTCCGACTCGCCTGCCTGGCCTCATCCAGCCTCGCCAGGGTTTGAGGGCACCACCATGCACGCTGATGATCCGTCCATCATGCCTCGACCGACCAGTCCACTCGGCAGATCTTTTTTCGAGCGACCGGCGAGCGTGCCAAGCCAAGAAGCAAGCAAGCCAGCAAACCAAGCGCAAGCGCACGCACGTCCGCCGGGCGGGTGATTTGAGCGGCGAGTTCAAAAAACCGAGCACGAGCAAGCAGCCAGCCGTACGTCAAGCAAGCAAGCGAGCAGGCTAGGGGCGGCGAAGAAAAAATCTCCGAGCGTGCCTGGTCCGGCCTTTTGGCTGCTGGCCAGCCAAGTTAAGCAGGAAGCCTAAGCTTTGCCGGGCATCTGCGCCGTCGCCGTCGTTGTCCACGCTCGACGGCTCGGTGGCTGCAGAGGGCCGCCACGGACCCTTCCTGTAGCTTCCGTCCCGTCGGACGCTGTTCTCCTTTGCCCGGCCATGGCATCGCCGAGCGCGGCGGCTGCTTATCGCAGCATCTACCAGCCTCGATTCATTTGGCGTCGGCTTCATTCGAGCTCGCGTGGCACGTATGTACGTTGGCAGTCTCGGCGCACGCAAGAGGATAGCGCCGAGGGGGGTTGGACCTGTTGAAGTTCCACCGATCCAACGCCGATGAAAGATGACTTATTGCTGTATGAGGCGCAGCCTAGCCCAGCTCGTCGTACGGAAGAGCCACAAAGCAAATGGTGGCCACCCTGCAGGAGGGAGGCTAGGACAAGGTTTGATCGCATCAAGCTGAGCCAGGCAGGCAGGCACGGGGGGTCGAGGAGGCGTATGTACGCGCGGGACACACGCACGCCTGCCTCTATCTGTGGCTCGGAACCTTGGGCTTGTGCTCGAGGTCGACCTAGCCCGCGGCCGAGGCCACGACTGCCTCGGCACGGAACGTTTGCGGCGACCTTGCTTGAGGTCGCGGTAACGGCCACAAGAGGGGCTGACTGGTGGGCCTACCGCCGATGCTCAGCCCCCCGGTCGACTTCGGGAGGCCCTCGGAATCGAAACGGGCGGGGGCGCACGCACGTTATCGCTGAGCCAGCTGGCAGGATCAAGGGATGGGCCGGCTGGCTGCGCCCAGCCACTCGGCAATCCCTGCCTTGCCAGGCCAGGCCAGGCCTGTGGACGGTCGGCCATTCGACGACTGCTTGGCCTTCGGCGTTCTTATCAGCGGAACAGAAGGCTAGGGCGAGGTGCCATCCATGCATGCAGATGAAAGCAAAGGAAGGCCAGCCACATTATGCAGCAGCGTGCGTGTTGCTTGCCTAGCCTGCCTAGGGCCCGCTGAGCTGCGCCGGCGTCGGGGCCACCCGCGACGATACGTAGGTACCGCCACCGCTCTCGCCCGGCGAGCAGGCAGGGCAGGGCAGGGTCGGCGCTGCCTCGAGGCCAACCTTAGCGTGCGTACGTGTGCCTGCCACCCACGCACCCGAGCGGCCTGGTCTGCTGGCTGGCCACCCACCCGGCCGGCGGCGGCGGTACGGTGGTAGGTAGCGCTGGATGGCGTGACGCCCCCCCTCCTGCCTGCCCTGCCTGCCCTGCCCTGATTTCTTATTTTTTGGCTCGCCGGGTTCGTCCCGCTTGCGGCGGCGTGGGCGGGTGCGGGCCAAAGTCGCGAGATTTTTTCCTCTTCCCCCATTTGGCCGGCCCACATCCGATCCAGGATCGATATCCCGGTCTCTGTCGAGCTTGCCACCTTCGGTCGACGGCTGAGCAGCCGGCCATCGCTGCTCGTCTGTACAACGGTAGCGGTACAGCATCCTAGTCACCACCACGGCTGCCATCAGCATCACCCACACCACCACCATCCACTGCGGCCCCTGAAGCACCCACCCGCCACTCGACCCCCTCGCTCGCCCTGCCTGCTTGGTGCTTCAAACGACCGCGCCTTGCTCGGCGTGCGTGACTCGGTGGCTGCCTCCACATCTGCTCAAACCCTCTGGAATCTTTCCACCGCGCCGTCCGCCATCCCGCCTTGCGCCCTGCGCCCTACACCCTGCCTCCGTCCATCCCGACACTCCCAAGCATCGCTTTGCCTCTGAGCCACCTCCTTGCTCGCAGTTTCACCACCTCGTAACGTGCCCATCACGCTCCTCCGCCTCGACCACAGACAGCCACCTCTGCCCAGCACCGCTACTGGCATCGATCGTCTCTAGCCTCGCGCAAGGCCAGCGGGCCAACAGAATCGACCCTGCTCGCCACCTCTCTGCCGGCAACCATCCGCGATAGCGCGGCGGCAACGATCCCGCTCGACGTCGGTATCGGCCTACCTCTGGCACAAGGCGGCTTCCTGCCGCATCCACATCCGCCAAGATGCTCAGCTCCATCGTCCACCACCCCTGCGAGATCTCGATGCACCTCGTCTCGCAGGACATCTTCATCCACCCGCCCCCCGCCAACAGCGAGTTTCCCGGCGATGACAAGACGCTCCGAGGCCTCGTCGAGATCAAGTGTCCCGTGAGTGGGCTCCAGCGGCCATGCCCGTCGTCTGCCGGTGTGGGACTCCCCCTTGCTGACTTCGAGAGCCTGACTCTCCTTTCCTGCCTCGCTCTTGGTCGCGCCCCCTTTGCCCACCTCAGAGCGAGCGGCACATCCAGGGCATCAAGGTCGTCTTGCAGGGCATCCAGACGCTCGCCATCCCCGAGGGCCACACGGGTTCGGCCGCCGCCATTCGGTGGGAGGAAAAGATCATCATGGAAAAGTCGCTCGAGATCATGAACGACGGCTCTGGCCACCCGTCGTCGAGCAAGCACTCGAGGCTGTCCAAGGGCAAGGAAAAGGAAAAGCAGCAGCCGTGCGGCGCCACCGAGGGCCTGCACCTCGACAAGGGCATCCACGGCTTCGAGTTCGCCTTCATCATCCCGGCCTCGGCCGCGCCGTTTGAGAGGAACAAGCACGGCCGCGTCAGGTACATCCTTACCGCCACCGCGCTCGGGGCGGGCCGCGCGCGCAGCCACATCTCGACCTGGAAGGAGATCTTCATCATGCTCCACGTCAACTCCGACGGCGGACCCACGCCGCTCGACATCCAGTACCATGACGTCCACGAGGCCCTCGGCCCCATGTCGGTCTCGCTCACCTCGGCCTCGCTCACCGTCGGCGGCACCGCCAACCTCACCATCTACCATCCGGATCCGCCGCCCGGTCTCAGTGTCCACGTCGCCCGTGTGTTTCTCGAGCAGACGTTTGAACTCTACAGCGAGGTCCGCAAGGGCTGGCTCAAGCTGCCGACGGAAAAGTTCCGGCTGTGGGAGAAGGGCTACATGCCCTACAAGGCCAAGCAGGCCGAGGGGACCACGCCGCAGGACGCCCTCTGGATCGCCGACGCCGGCGGCGGAGCGGGACGGCCGGGGCGCGGCGCGGGCGGTGGGCCCGCCAACATCTCGCCGTTTGGCCTGCCGCTCAACGGATCCGTCTCGGCGCCCGTCACGCCCGGCGAGCCGGCGACGCCCATGTACCCGGAGAATGGGTACAAGATCAAGTCGGTTGTCCGGCTGCCCGACGACAACATCATCCGCCCCAGCACGGTCCGCGGCTCGCGCGCCGAGATCCGCGTCTCTCACGAGATGGGCGTCGAGATCTTCTTTTCGCGCCAAGACGTCCTCGACACGCGCGAGGGCAGCGAGAGCTTTGGGCTGCCCAAGGTGCAGGTGTTTTCGATGCGGCGGGCGACAATGATCCCGTCGTGCTGCTGCACCTTTGACACCATCCACCTGCCGCCCTACTCGCTCGAGTCGCCGTCCAACTCGCGCCCCTCGTCGCCGTCGCCGCCCCTCTCGCGGCGCAGCACCCAGGCCGAGCTCGACCACTGGAAGCGCACGACGCCGCTCAACCTCTCGCTGCCCGGCTCGCGCAACAGCTCCAACGCCAACTCGGGCAGCAGCTCCAAGACGGCCTCGCGCGAGACGTCGCCCACCAGGCTCGGCTTCGGCCACCACTTTGGCGGCAGCCACGGCCGCAAGAGCCGCAACGCCAGCCGGGACCGGGACCGCGGCAGGAGCGGCGGGGGTCTTGGCAATCTCGGGCTGCACGCCCTCACGCCGGCGTCGAGCGGCCACATTGAGACGTCGGGCAGCGGCCACCGCAGCGGCTACTCGACGCCGCGGTCGCTGCCGCTCAACACGCCGTGGGCCGTCAGCCACCTTCCGGAGCGCACGGGCACCTCGCACGACACCTGCAACTGCGGCAGGACGACCGAGGAGCTGACCGAGGCCGAGCAGAGGCTGCTCGAGGGCGCCCCCACCGCTCCGGGGGCGTGGATCGACAGCCACGACGAAAACGCTACGCTGCCGCCCTGGACGCCACCGTCGCGGCCCGGAAGCCCGGTCTCGGGCTGGCACCACGGGCTCGGCGGCGGGCGCGAGGGATTCCGACCGCGGGGCAAGCTGGCAGAGATCGAAACGCCGCTGGCAAGCCCTCCGGCTTCCTGAAAACGGTCTTCTCTTCACCTCGTGCCCTCGAATCCCCCCTCGCGCTGTCCGGCTCGACCACCACTTCGTTTCGCACGCCTCTCTGCCATGGATCACTTGTCGCTCTTGCCCACTCTGCCTCGCATCTGTCATCGCCGTGTTGCGGCTCGGTCTGTACCACGCTGATCGGGCTGTCTTCACTCGCCTCTGTCCGCATCTACTCAAGGTCTCCCGCGTCCCCCGTCCCGCCTCACCACCGCTTAATCTGGCCTGCCGCCTGCCCCTCGCTCCAGCCGTGCTTGCGTCCGCATCCCTCCAGTCACGAATAGCCGCTCCAGAACGACGTATCAGAACAATGACCGCGACATCGCCCCGTAATGACATGCATGGTATACCAGCCTCATCCCTTCCACCCCACCGCGTGCTCAGCTCGAGGGCATGGTGCGCAGCTGCCTCCTCGCCTGCCTGGCCTGGCATGGCCCGGGTCTCGGGACTGGCGGCGGGCGGTCGCGCGGCCGGAGGAAAAGTCAAAAAAAGCTGGAAGAAGTGCCAAAGCAAGCGAGGTGCCGCGGGCGAGGCGAGGCGTGGCCGCTCTGCTTCCGTAAGCGTCCCGCGGGCGTCTTACGCCAGCCAGCCTCGACCGACGGCCTTCGCTCGAGCATCCCCAACCCACCCGACCGACCGACCACGCCTTGGACAGCGAGTCAGACAATCAACCAACCGACGGACCAGGCAGGCCTGCCGCCCCTCTGCATACCGGTGCCGGACCTCCCCGACGGCTCTCCCAAGGATCCCACACCGCCCCGGTGGCATCGTGCCGCAGCAGCAGCAGCAGCAGCAGCAGCAGCACTATAAGATTGCCTTCAGCTCGTTGCTGCGCCTAGGCTTGCCTCCCAGCATCTCCGCCCAACCCTTCTCGAATGCTGCCAGGATAACAGCTGCTCAGAAGCTCGATCCTCGCAGCACGCGCCACCCACCTCTACGTCCCCAACGCCATGTCGACTTCACTCTCGCGCTCGTTGGGCCTCCAGCTTTCGTCCAGGGCGCTGGCCAGGTCCTCGACCTGCCATGGCCCCTTCACCCGATCCTTTGCGGGCCTCTGCGCTCGTCCCTCCCGACCGACGGCTGCGATTGATGCTGGTGTCAAGGCCAGGACGGCGAGTCCGTCGCTGCTGCGCAGCTACACCTCGTCGACCACCATCACCACCGGCGGCCCTCTGATGGTCTCGACGCGATCCTCGCTCACCCGCAACTCGACCCTGCTCAAGGCCTTTGCCGATGCCCGCCGGTCGCAGTCGACATCTGCCACTGCCACCCTCGCCTCCTCTGCCGCCGCTGCCACCTCCGCAAGCTCTGCCTCTGCCGCTTCATCCTCGACCGCTGGCTCGACGCCCCTCGTCTCTCGCCCCGTCGTGGCGGTGCATCTCTACGCCCTCGCCTTCCTCGTCTACGCCATCATCGTCGTGGGCGGCCTCACGCGGCTCACCGAGTCCGGCCTCTCGATCACCGAGTGGAACCCGGGCTTCAAGGGCATGCGCCTGCCCATGACGACCGCCGAGTGGGAGGCCGAGTGGGACAAGTACAAGCAGACGCCCGAGTTCCTCCTGCTCAACCAGAGGATGTCGCTCGACGACTTCAAGTCGATCTATCTGTGGGAGTGGGGCCACCGCATCCTCGGCCGCGTCATCGGCGTCGCCTTTGTCCTGCCCGCCGGCTACTTTATTGCGAGGAAGTGGGTCGGCCGCGAGACGAGGCTCAAGCTCGTCGCCATCGCCCTCGGCATCGGCTTCCAGGGCTTCCTCGGCTGGTTCATGGTCAAGTCGGGCCTCTCGAACCCCACCACCAGCGGCACGCAGAAGACGGTCACGGTGCCCGTCCCCGCCATCAAGGACGACCACCCCAACTCGACGGCCAACACCCACGACGGCCGCGTCCGCTACGACGCCACCGTCACCGTGCCCTCGTCGTCGGCGCAGTCGGCCACCGTCTCGCCCGCCGAGTGGACGCCGCGCGTCTCGCACTTCCGCCTCGCCATGCACATGGGCACCGCCTTCCTCGTCTACCTCGCCATGCTCCACACGGGCCTGTCGGTGACGCGCGACTACAAGCTGGCCAAGGCCAAGGGCGTCGTCGCCGGCGTCCCGCTCCAGGGCGGCGGCGGCGCTGGCGGCGCTGCGAGCAAGGCGGTCCTCGAACGCCTCGCCAACACGCTCAACCACCCGCTCATCCGACGCCACAGCCGCCTGACCAAGTTCGTCACCGCCCTCGTCTTCACCACGGCCATGTCGGGCGCGCTCGTGGCCGGCCTCGACGCCGGGCTGGTGTACAACGAGTTCCCGACGATGGGCGAGGGCCGCATCGCCCCGCCGGTCGACGAGCTCTTCGACGACCGCTTCGCCCAGAACGACGACGGCAGCGACAAGGTGTGGAGGAATCTGTCCCAGAACCCGGTCACGGTTCAGCTGATCCACCGCACGCTGGCCATCACCACGGCTCTGACCGTCTATGCGTTGGCGTGGAAGACGCGCAAGGTGGCGCGGCAGTACAAGGACGTGGTCGCGGCGACCGAGGCGAGGAGCGGAGTCGACAGCGCGGCCGCCATCGGCAGGGTCGCACGCCCGCCTCCTGCCTCTGGTGCGTCTGCCGCTGCGTCCGCTGCTGCTCCGTCCGCTTCCGCTCCGGTCGGCGGCGGTGCGATCCTGGATCGCTTCCCGCGGACGCCGCTGCTGCTGGCGTACGCGTCGGCGGGCGTCGTGACGCTGCAGGCGACGCTGGGCATCACGACGCTCATCTACATGGTGCCCATCCCGCTCGCCTCGGCGCACCAGGCGGGCTCGGTGGCGCTGCTGAGCGTGCTGATCGGCATGATTGCGTCGATGCGCCGCGTGCCCGCGCGCGCCCTCCAGGCGGCCTCGCAGCTGGCGGCTGGCAACCAGGCGACCAAGCTGCAGCACCAGAGGATCCTCCAGAAGGTCCTCAGGTGATGGGGTGGCTTGGCCCAGAGGCTTGACCTGGCCATCTCCTCGCACGATCCCTGTGTATTTGTATAGATCCCTCGCTCGCCCAAACTCGGCCCTGCTTGTTCGGACCATCCAGTGTATCCCGGTGGGCGGCGACTGCTTCCCCACCGCTCCCATTCGTCCCTTTGCTGTCCCTGTGTGCGCGTGCATGTCGCCTCGAGCTGTGACTGCAGCGGGGCGACGTTGCGACGTGGCTTGCCTGGCATCGCTGAAGCTCGTGACGATGAGGTCGAGATGGTGTTGGTCTGCCTTTTTGGCCTGTCCTCGCGCCTTGCTTGTCTGGCCAGGCTGGGCTGCGCGATGCGGCGTGCGTGCGTGCGTGCCCGACTTGGCGTGTGGAGGAGCAGAGGCCGCCTTGACCCCCTGCCTCGTCTGTCTGTCTGCCTGCGTGCCTGTCTGCCTACGCCGCCTCTCCGCTTTCAGCTGCGTGCACCCTCCCCGCCCAACCATCGACCGCACCATCACCATCACCATCACCATACCTCTCCGCCCAGTCGCACTCGCACAGCATCGATCATGACTGACGCGCCGCCCGTCTCAATCTCGCCCGTGTCCGAGGCGCCGAGCAGTGAGCCAGACGCGCTCTCGGCCTCGCAGCCCTCGACGCCCGGCCGACCCAACCTTTCGCGCACCAACAGCATCAGCTCCGACGGCGGCAGCCTCGATGGCGTCGACCTCCTCGGCGGCGGAAACGGCGCAGGCCTGCCCCTGGCTGGTGAGACTATACGGCTGATCCCACCTGCCCGCCTCGCCCCTGGATCGGATCCTGACTCTCCTCTCCTCGTGTCACCCCTGCCTCCTCTTCTCGTTCTTTGCCCCGGCAGACATCCTCGACACCTTCCTCTCTGCCCGCATCGATCTGGCCAATCGGAGGTGGAGCCGCTTCTCGGGCGACATGAAGCAAAAGGCCAGGCGCAGGAAGGAGGACCTCGTCCGCCGCGCCAGGGACAAAAAGGAGCTCAAGCAGATGGAGGGTGAGGTCAGGAAGATGCGCAAGAGGGTGAGTATGGCCGCGACGATGCTCAGTCAAGACGGCCTCGCGCTGATACCAGGCTGAATCTGCTCGGGCATCCGCATCTTCATCGGTGCAGGTCTCGACGCGGATCGACAACCTGCAGCAAAAGTGGCAGGACGCCAAGGTCGTGCGCCTCCGCGACAAGATCTCGTTCGTCGTCGGCGTCCTCAACCTCGTCGTCAGTGAGTATCGGACGTCGTACACATGGACCTACGGCCCAGGAGACGCGATCAGCCTCTTGCTAAAAGACCCTGTGGCGTGTCGCGCCTTCGCACAGGTTCGCTCTGCTTTGCCTTCCGTCCGGAGCTCGTCCCCGCCCTCTACTCGGCACTCGCCCTGTACTTTCTTCCGCTCCGGGTCTATTCGTGAGTCGCTCGTCCCTTCTCGCGCTGGCCAAGGCGAGCGTCACAGTTGCTGAACTGCTCCAGCGTCTGCGGTCCTTCCTCCCCGCAGGTACACTTCGAAGAAGTGGGTGAGTTGCCGCATGCAGCTTCATTGCCTCGACAAGCCCGGTGGACTTGCTGCTGACCGCCCTTCTGGCCCACATCTTCCCCTCTCAATCTACAGCACTACTTCCTCTTTGACTTTTGCTGTGAGCGCCTGGAGAGAGAGAGAGAGGCGAGGATCTGTGGTCCGCAAAAGGCACAGCGGACTGACCTTGGACTTCTGCGATATCATTGCTCCTGCATCGAGCAGACTTCCTGAAGTGAGTCGCCATTGCGCGAACTGCCTATTGACCGTGACGAGCCTTGCTGACGGCATTCGTCTTTTCGCTCCCGCAACAGCGTGGCCAACCTGGTACGGCTTGCGCTGCTCGACCCCAAACACGACTGCGGCGGCGTCGCTGACACTCTTCGGCCCGCATCTTCTCGCTCCTGCCCATCGTGACGACCAGCTCTTCATCTGGGCCTTTCCGGACAACAAGTTCCTGTTCACCGTGTGAGTGCCAGCGCCGTCGCCGTCGCCGTCGCTTCCACTCGACGGGCGAAGCACGGAACTGATTCCCATCGCCTTGCTCGAACCGCCAATGCCTGCGACAGATGCTACTGCGCTGCCCATGGCCCGCTGGCGTTCTCTGTGGCGACATGGCGGAACTCGCTGGTGTTCCACAGCCTCGAAAAGGTGAGTAGGGGCGTTGAAGGAAACGAGTGAGGCGGTGGGAGCCAGCATCTTGACTGTCGAGCCTTTAACTCCGTCTTTCTCGACTGCAGATGACCTCGGTGAGTTCCAAGAGCAGCCTGTGATTCGGCGGAGACCGCCTCGCCTGACACTTTGACCTCTCGATGCCGCGCGGCGATGACTTCGCACGATCAGCTGTTCATCCACCTCTACCGTGAGCAGGGCCCGCACACCTAGTTGCCGCACATGCCGGCTTGCTGACCGGCAGTCCTTTCATCTCGTGACAATCTACAGCGCCGTTCGTCTTCACAACGCTGGTGCACTTCACGCCGCGAGAGGCGGCAGAGGTCCGCTACCCGGCGCTCAAGGGCCTGGACCGCCTCGATGGCTACACGTCGTTTTGGTTTGTGAGTATCGAGCGGGAGCGGCGCGGTCGGATCGCCAGTTGCTGCGACGACATCGCAAGGTTGACGCTTCCCCCCTCCTCGCTGTGGCCGGCGCATCTTCAGAACGTGACCATCTACCTGGCCTGGCAGCTCATCTACTACGAGCTGATCGTCATCCGCAAGAAGCAGAAGATTGAGACGGGCGAGCGCATCAACTCGTACTCGACCATGTCCAAGGGCAAGGGCCCCGTCGCCAACCTGCTCGGCAAGGCGTCGCCCAAGAGACGGGAGCCGGCGTTTATGCGTGAGCCCCTCGATGATGCTGTCGCTTCGGCTCGTGTTCAGCGTGTGTGCTGATGAGTTGATATCTTCTCTCTCTGCCCTCCGCTTCCCGCGATCAGTGCTGCAATTCGCTTACACGATCCTGACCACGGTGAGTGCCTGCTCGTCTGTTCTTCGAGACAAGGCTGGAGAATGACAAACAGGCCCCGCTGACTTTGAACACGGTCCATCTTTGTTTGCCCGTTTGCCACGGCACAGCTGCCGGCCCCTCTGATCCTCTTTCCCTCGTCAAAGGCCTCCGGTATCTTCTTGTGAGGCCGAAAGCAGTGGTGCCGGACTGTAGCCGTAAAATGAGCGGGACTTGCTGACCCCTCACCGCTCCGTCCGATTTTCTCCTCGTATCGACAGCCTCGGCATCCTGACGGTGTCGGTGTGGAACGGCGCCTCATACTACGTGGGTAGCGTTCCAGAGACCTCGCCTAGCGTCTGCACCTCCACGTCGTGGCTGACGACCCCGCTCGCTTCCCGTTTCCTCCCGGGCTGACGCCGACAGGTCGAGGTGTTTGGCCGCCGCTTTGAAAAGGAGCTCATGGAGCTGCGGCGCGAGATTGAGATGATGCGGTCGACGGAGCAGGCCGTCGACAGCGCCCTCAACGGCGAAGCGCCGCCGCAGGGCGATGACAAGGAGGCGGACAGCGGGGAGGACAAGAAGCTCGTCTAGACACACTGGCGCGCCGCTGCCACAAGGGAGGGAGCGATTGGATCAGCGGAAGATGGCGAGGAGCGGCGTAGAGGGTCGACTTGCTTGTAGCCAGCAGCCTAGCTTGTTGGGTGCAGTCCTGCCCGACCAAGTCGAGTCGAGTCGAATCGAGGGGCAGGGCCCGAGTGGAATCAAGCAGGCCGGCGACGAGTCGGGTAGCGGGAGATGCCTGCACGCCGTGCAGCTCAGCCCGGCCTGGAAATTTGGTCGGGCGCTGCTCGCTCCACTCTTGGCCCTCTTCCCTGGCCGCTTCCTTCGACCCCACCACCACCACCACCTCCCCTTTCATCAGCGTACCCTCTCCGCATCGTCCTCTCCCGACCTTGTCTGCCTCAGCATGCCGCCCGAAGCCGCTGCTACAAAGGCAGCTGGAACAGCGCCCAAGGCCGGCGGCGGCGGCGGCGGCAGCAAGGGCGGCAAGGGATCTGGCGCTCCGGCGGCAAAGGCGGCCAAGGCACCGGCCTGGGTGCTGCCGCGCTCCGTCCCGCAGCCCGAGCACAACCACACCCTCTCGCACCTGCTCCAGGTGGCAAACTACTTTTCCTTCCTCGCCTCCCTCTACCGCGCGGCCCCTTCGAACCCTTCCGCCCCGTCCACGACCACCGGACAGCCCTCAGCTCCATCGCGTGCCGATATCGAGGCAGAGCGGCAGCGCCGGCGGAAGGAGACGCTGCAGTCGCTCTCGTCGCGCTACACCCGGGATACGCTCAGCCTGTCGCGTAAAGCGGTGCTCCGGCTCGACGTAGGCGTCAAGAGGGGCCTGTGCCGCTGCGGCATGGCCAGGATGGGCGGAGGCTGGAAGGCCAAGCGCAACGGGCCGCACGGAAAGGTGCTCGTCCAGCGGTGCCCATGCGGCGGCAGGAAGAGATGGCCCGCCTCGAGGGCTTGGCCCGATACCGCGCTGCCAGTACTGACGGCTGCGACGACGGTCGAGCAGGGCGCAGCTCAAGGCGTCTCCGGAGCTGGCAGAGTCGACAGCGGCAAGGGAACACAAAAGGAGGCGGCCAGCGAGGTCATGGCCATGGCCGGACCTTCGCAGTCCGCGGTCGCAGCCGCGGTTGCTCCCGGAGGACAACCTGCCAAGCGGAAAGCGCCTCCTTCTGCCATCGACCAACCCGCCTCCAAGAAGGCGAAGAGCAGCAAGCCTCCAAAGGTCCGACAGCTCAGGCTCGACGTCGTCACCACCGATGCAGGCCACAAGGAGCTCGGCGCCAGCGCGGCCGATCCTGTCGGCGACCAGAGGAAAAAGTCGGCGCTGCGCAGGGCGGCCGAAGCGCCCATCCAGCCTCGCCGGTCCCTATCGCAGCGACAGCGTCGCAAGCAGAGCAAGCTGCGCGACCGGGAACTCCGCAATCTGGCCAGGCTCGAGGAGAAGATGGATGAATGGGTGGAGCGGAGGGTGGAGAGGGAAAATCTTGGGTTTCCCAGGAGGGTGCGGATGGATCCAGGGTCTCTACAAGAGCTTCGAACGAGGCGGCAAATGCGCATCGAAGCACATGCGAGGCCAAAGGGAAAGAGCCGCAAGGAGAGGAAGGTGGAGAGGGCGGCTAGGATCGCCCAGAGGGACGCCCGGAGAGCCGCTGCTGCACAGAAGGCGAAGCAAGCACAGCCGCCTCCGATCGTTTGCAAGGCGGAGCCATCTGATGCCGGTACAGACGCTGTCGCCACCTCGTCCGCACCGTCGGCAGCTCCCCGTCGGCCCAACGTGGTGCGGTACGCCGATAGGATCGAGGGAAGCGGCTGGGATCGGCCCATCGTCGCGCTCGAAGAGGCAGCCGCGCGCGCCCACGAGCAGCCCCCAGCTCAGGCTTCGACGGTATCGCAGCCTGCTCCGGCGGCCCCACCGCGGCAGCAGCAGCAGCAACCACCACAAGGCCAGGACGGCGCCGTCGACGAGGACGCGCGGTACGCAGTGCACGCGGCGCACTATTACGGCGCGGCGACGAGGATGCGCGGCAACCACGTTGTCGTCCACGGCGTGGGCAAGGGTGGTCTCCTCGGGCCGAACCAGTAGCATCTCTGGCGTGTGGGCGGCGTAGTCCATCGCCCTCTCCGCCGCCTTGCCGGCCACTCCTCCTCTCCTCTTTCGAGGACGACACGGCATTGGCTGTTTCACGATGCAGTACCACCCCCATCTCGAGGAGCGACTCGCGGCGTCGGTCGAGCACAGCGCGACCCTGCGACCCGCACCACAGGCATCTGTACTATATCCTCTCCCTCATCAGCGGCATCGTAGGCATCCCCCGTCATCCAGCCTCGTGCGTCGTGGAGCTGCGACTCGGACCGCGTCGACCCCTGGCGCGCCGTGCGACGCAGCGACTGCTCCACCCAGGCCCCCAGTCATCCTCCGCCTCGGTCTCTTTTTCGAGTCGGCCCGAGTCGGTCAGCACGAGTGGGCAGCAGAGACGATGAGAGGGCGGCAACGGCGAGGTATCTGAGCGTGTCTGTCCTTTGACGATCGCGACGTGGGTGGCGAAGATGGAACGCCCCGGGTGGCGAGGCCAGGCCTGGATTGGCCCAGGGCCTCCCAGCTGGGTCGTGTTTGTTTTCCCCCCGAGCGGGCTGAGGCGCTGGCGCTGGCGCTGCAGGCTGCACCGCTACGGACGCCGCCTCCTTGCCCGAGGCATGCGGGCCGAGGGCCCTGCCTGGCCTGGCCTGCCTGCCTGCCTCTCGGGACCCTGAGAGTTGGGCTGACCCCGCCCCGCGCCGCCCCCTGAGATCAACACTTGCCCCGCCCAGCCTGACCCTCCTGCCTCTTGGCCGTGCACGCTTCCCACCACCAGCAACCAACACCTTGTACCTGCACCCACCGTCGTCTTCGTCCCTCTCTTCTTGAACTCGCACCACCAGCAGAGCCAGCAGCCAGCAGCCAGCAGCACCTGCCCGTCCATCCTCGCCATTCTTTGCCGCTGACACCGCGCGTCCCCGCCCACACTTTGGTGCCGACACGAGCGAGGCCGCTTCACCTACCATCGCCCGCCCGTGCTCCCTCCTTTGCCTCGCCTCGCCTGCAACCCTCCGCCATGTCGTCGTTTTTCGGTCTGTCAAAGACGCGGACCTTTAAGCCGAAGCGCAACATCCCCGAGGGCACGAAACAGTACCAGCTCAAGCGGTACGCCGAAGCCACGCTCGGCAGCGGCAACCTCCGTCTCGCCGTCGTGCTGCCCGAGGGCGAGGACCTCGACGAGTGGCTGGCCGTCAACAGTGAGTCCCGGTCCCAGTCGATGTCGAAGGCGGCCCGACGAGCGTGCTGACCCCTGAGAGCTTACGTCCACGTCGTCTTTCTTGTTTCCGTTCGCTGCTGCTGCAGCCGTTGACTTTTTCAACCACGTCAACATGCTCTATGGCACCATTACCGAGTTCTGCACGCCTTCCGAGGTGAGGATCGCAACGGCGGCCCTAGACTGCAGCCTGTTCTGCTGCTGCTGCTGCTGCTGCTGCTGCTGCTGCTGCTGCTGCTGCTGCTGCTGCTGCTGCTGCTGTCGCTGCTGGTGCACCGCTGATCTAGAGCTCTTGGTCTGACGCCCCACTCCGCTCCGCCCGACTCCCCTCATCCACCGCCGCTACAGTGCCCGGTGATGTGCGCCGGCCCGCGCTTCGAGTACCACTGGCAAGACGCCGCGTCGGCGCTGTACAAGCGGCCCACCAAGATGTCGGCGCCCGAGTACGTCGACTGCCTCATGAACTGGATCCAGAACCAGCTCGACGACGAGGCCACCTTCCCCAGCAAGGTCGGCGTGCCCTTTGCCAAAAACTTCCACGCCACCGTCAAGTCGATCCTCCGCCGCCTCTTCCGCGTCTACGCCCATATCTACAACCACCACTTTAGCCAGGTCTGCGCGCTCAGCATCGAAGGTGCGTTCGCCTCGCGTCGTGTGTCTCCATCGGTCGACGCTCGTACCTCGACTTGCACAGAAGACGTGGGCGGGGGCGGGGTACCGGGAGCGGTGGATCGACAGGCGACTGACGTGCGTTCTGCTCTCCCCTCGACACTCTCGTCGATCGGCCCCCGCCTTTCTGGGCACGCAGCGCATCTCAACACGTCCTACCGCCACTTTTTGCTCTTCATCACCGAGTTCCAGCTCGTCGAGCCGCGGGAGCTGGCCCCACTGACCGAGCTCAACGAGGCCATCCTGGCAGAGGCCTGATCGAGCCTGCCCTGCCCCTGCCACGCCCTCGCTTCTCGCGCCGCGCGCTTCGAGACAGGACACTACACTAGCCCCCCTTTCACCCTATACCAGTCCCCCTCTCAGACCTAATCTGCTGCTCATTCCACGATCCACGGTCGCCGACTGATCGGCTCAACTCGCGCTCTGCTGCTCTGCGATATGATATTGCGCCGCTCCACCCAGGCGCCGACCTACACGACGCTCGACCGCGGCCTGGGCAGCCCGACGCCTTACCACCACCAGCCCTCCTCCTCTGCCGCCTTGGCGCTCTTCTGCCTCCGCTCCTGCTCCTCGTCGTCGATGCGCTGCCGGCCCGCCCGATCGGGCACCCACGACCTCACCACGGCGTCGTCGCCCACGCTCGTCACCATCGGGCCCATGGGGCCGTTGCACCAGCTCAGGCTGTTGATCTCGGCATTGACCGAGTGCCCGCCCCGCAGCACCACGGCCTGGTGGCCGCTCGACGTCGATTTGGACCGCGACGCGTTGGCGATGCCGTACCCCATCTCCCGCGCCACGGCGAGCTGCGCAGCATCGACGTCTTCCTCGTCGTCGTCTCCGTCGTCGTCGTCGTCGTCGTCGTGGTCGACCTGGGAGCGCGATGCGGTCGATGCGCACGGGTTGCCGAGGTCCCACAGGCCTACCTCGCCCGTGTTGCACCCGACGGCGAGGAAGCGATCGTCGTAGAGCGCCATCTTGGCGTACAGGGTATTCTGACGCTGCGAGGCGTCGTACAGCCCCCCACCTGCCTCGCCTTTGCCTCGGCCTTGGGCCGGCGTCACCAGGCCAAACAGGGACGACGGCGTCGGCCCCTCCATGTCGGCGCGTCCGAAGGCGTCGGAGGGGTCCACGGGCCGTGCCTTTTTTGCGCGCACCCCTTTGCGCGATGACGCCGGTAGGGCCGCAGGGGAGGGCGCGGCGACAAACGACGACGCCGGGACGTTGTAGATGCGCCCGTCGGTCGACGAGGCAAAGATGTGGGTCGACGAGGCGACGAGGTGGGAGACGCCGTGGCTCCGGCGGTTGGCGGCCGAGAGCAGCGTCAGGTCCGGCGTGACGCTGCTGGGCCCGAGGTCCTTGTCCTTGGACCTCGCCCGCGGCGCCTTGTCACGGCCTCGCGTTGCCTCGACGGCCGTGCCGACTTTGACGCTGCCGAATTCGGTCGACGCGGCTGGCGCGGGGCCGCTGCTCCAGGTGCGCAGGTCCCAGCACTTGAGCACGCCGTTCTCGCATCCCGCAGAGACGAGGCGGTGGCCGCTACCGTCATTGAGGTAGCACAGCGACGTGACGCCTTTTGGCGGCAGAGACCGCTTGGTTCGCGCGCCCGGTGCGACGTGGTGAAACGACGCCCTACCTTTGGCGCCCCTGGAACCGGCCGCAGCGGCCGAGGTGTGGGCTGACCAGATGGATAGGACGGGCGCCTTGGCACCGGCCGATGCCGTCGTCGCGCCGTCGCGGCGATCGTCGCCCTCGCCGTCGAGGTCCATGCCGTCGATGCGCATGCTGGCGTCGCTCGCCGATGCCCTGCTGCCGA